CGTCCACACCTTCCCTAGTCGTAAATCCACCCAACTGTGGTATATGCTCAAATTTACTGCCTTGAGCAGATTAATGATGTCGCTTCCTCTCTTAAGACCTCCCACCCTCTTATCCTCGTCTATTGTGATGGGTCTGTCGCCACGCTGGGCAGCGCTGGGGCAGCTGTGTGGATTCCTGAGCGCCAGGCCCGCAAGAAAATCAGGGTCCACGACTGGGCCTCCTCCACTGACACTGAAAGCATAGCCATCCTCGCGGGCATTCATGAGGGGGCGACCTATGCTCGCACTGAACGCCGGAACCTCCTTATAATCAGTGACAGCACTTCTGCGCTAGCGAGGCTCAAATTACCCTCCCCCTCCTCCCCTGCCGCTCAACACACCCAAGCCGCCGTCGCCAGGCTAGAACATACTGATGACAACCGTGTCAAGTTTATTTGGATCCCGTCACATATACTGTAGGAATAACTGCCTGTGACACTGTTGATCGACTTGCCAAAGAAGCGACTCAAGAAGAAGATATTGAAGCCACCCTCGCCTTCTCCCTGAATCATCTCAAATCTCGCATACACGCCACACAACGAGAAGCATTCGACGTAAAATGGACACACCTGAAACAACGAGGTAGCGTCACACTATGCCACTATGACGCTGTAACCGGTGACTCCAACCGCCACTACAAAGAGTATCAATCTCTGACTCGATCTCAACGATTATATACATGAGACTGCGCCTAGGGTACAGGTACCTATGGGGATACATTGGCAACCCTGAGCCTGGCCGCACTGTTTGTAAACTTTCTGGCCAACTCGACTCTCACACCCTCTCTCACTACATCCTCACTTGCTCTATGACCTCCTCCTACAGGTCCCCAGCCGTTACCAACACCTCTTCCCTCCCTGACCAGATATCCCTCCTCCTAGTCACAGGCCTGGCACTTGACATTATTAGGGACCTGCCACACTTTGCTATAAACAGATGAAATATACCGGGAATTCCCCCACACACTCATCATTCTGTCACTTTATGTAACTTGCTGACAAAACCCATGACCCTTCAGGCTTCCATGCCCTTAATGCATGGGTCATAAAGGCAAGCATGAACGTAGCATGCTTCCCAGATGGGCACTGTAAACGCTTCTGCGCTTCACCTTGCACAGGATGTAAGGGGGTGCCCAATAAACTAGCCCCCATCGGGGCAATCTGTAATCTGTATATACACACGATTGAGTAGTCCCCTCTGGTGATTTATAACTTTTGTCGACAACACCAGTACTACTTGCTCTAACGACATTGTCTGGTGCTGTAGTCACAGTGAACAAGTAGTACTGGTAATGGAATGAGCATGCAGTACTGTACTGTACTAGTACTGTAGTAAACACGTTATGAGTCCTTGTCCAGTCTCTTCCTTCCCTGTCTACGGCGCTGATTAATGGCAATTATTCAGTAAAATTTTCACACACGTTTATAATTGGATAAGCATGTTCATAGACTTACCTTGGGAGCCCAAGAAAACTTCACACCCACTGAGTAACAATATGGCTCCCGGTTGCCCGAGCTCTGTCTATCTACGACTCTGACTAATGGTGTATACTAGCACCATCTCTTGGCTGAACACTAAAGTCGTCCTTTACGTAACAGTGCCAACTATTGTATTATGTACATCTTCTATGAGTTAAGGATCTGTACTTTATAAACACAATAAAAAAAAGTTCAGTCTTCCCTTACCTTATTCGAAGTGCAGTAAATTAACCTAATTGAAAATAATGTCTTTATCAGTTATTATTCATTGCCTTGTGTAAAAGGTGAATTGGTTATGAGCTTCAAATCCTTAGAAGTTATATTTAGTAAAAAACAGCAACCTGTACAATGACCCCACAGTATTAGGCACTACTGCAGTGTATGGTGTACAGATAGTATTATTTTACTTTTGGACATGGGTCCCTAAATTAAATTGTGTCGCTGTTTTCCATTCAAAATGGAAATGCTCAGAATAGGGAGATCTAAATGTTTCAGTAGTTTATAACTTTAGGGTGTGCTCCAAGTCCGAGAGTAAAATAATACCGGTTAAGTTAGGTTAGGTCAGATGACTCGTTTCCAGGTGAAATTTTCGACAAAAATGAAGGTCAGATTCGCTTAAAACACGCCAAAATACATTAGAAAAACATATTGGTCAACCCCTAGGGACACATGTCTTAAAGTAAAAATTTACCCAGAGTTTAGTCTAACCTAACCTAGGTAGGTAATTATTGATGACTGATCCACGGCCGATTTTTCATAAAAAATTATTAAAACACCGCAATTTCTCTGTGTTTTATAGTGGACACCGTCGTAGTTTGTGCTAATGTGTTAAAAAGTGGTTATATTTAAATGAAACCCAACCTCACCTAAGTTGATATGAAAAACAAGCACAAATGGAAAGACATTACCTTCAACTCGCAGTCCTAAATGCCGTTAGAGTAAGACTCCTAACTACGGTTCTGCACCATGATGTTCCGATCACTGCTACATCTTGCACTTATTACCACACTGGGCGACCTGTAGCGTATTATTTTTTTTTTTTTTTTAATTTCTGAGATTATTTTGGTGGGTTTTTAAAAAACGAGAGATTTTTTGGGTACATTTTGTGGGATTTTCTCAAAATTTAAATTTAATGTGCTTAACTAAAGCACTGCACAGGGTACAGGACATCCAGAATAAAACCCCAAAATGAGCCTTAGAAAAATTGTAGGTTGTGAGTAATTAGTGTTTCAAAACTATCTAAAATTGTGCCAATAGTCATTAGGACAAATATTAGTTATATATATATATAATATATATATATATATCTTGATAAAATCACACGGGAAAAGGGAAACAACGGAGCACCTTAGCTTTCGTCTTTATTCAAGACATCTTCAGAGGCAACTGAATAAAGAGCTAAAAGATTTTATCAAGATTATCTTATCCACGTTTTCATTGTGGATCTACATGATATATATATATATATATATATATATATATATATATATATATATATATATATATATATATATATATATATATATATATATATATATATATATATATATATATATATATATATATATATATATATACAGCACCTTCCCGACTTACAGCGGGATTAGGGACCCAAATTCAGGTCGTAAGTAAAAAATGCTTAAATAATACATAGAAAATCTAAAATGGATGTCTCTTTTTTTTCTCAGCGCCACAAAACTCTCATTTTTAAGCTTGCCAGTCATTTTAAAGTGAATTACAAGTGAAAGTTTTGTCTGTGTACTGACGTTGGGACTCGAAAATACGTAATTTGACAAAATTTTGGTACGACTGAGTAGGTCGTAAGTCGGGGAGGAGCTATATATATATATATATATATATATATATATATATATATATATATATATATATATATATATATATATATATATATATATATATATATATATATATATATATATATATATATATATATATATAATATATTATATATATATATATATATATATATATATATATATATATATATATATATATATATATATATATATATATATATATATATATATATACTATTAACCTATTATTTCATATGCTCCCATAAGATTCTTATATTATAAGTCTGTATATATATATATATATATATATATATATATATATATATATATATATATATATATATATACAGCTCCTTCCCGATACCTATATATATATATATATATATATATATATATATATATATATATATATATATATATATATATATATATATATATATATATATATATATACAGTGGGGTATGCTATAACGAACGTAATTGGTTCCAGAACCTCGTTCGTTATAGCATTCGTTCGTTATAAGATTAATCCGTTCCAGGCCCCCAAATACAACCGCTTAACACTGAAAAAATTCTGTGGAAAATGTAAAAAATACGGTACTTTATCTTACCTTAGTGTTATTCAGCATGCAGGTACCCCTAAACACTGGCACATCACTATCACTTCCACTGGGAGTCTTGGCTTCAAGGTCCTCAAACAATTGTTTAGCCTTCTCACAAATTATCGCTTCACTAATGTTACCACCTGCCATTTCTTTCTCCAACAATAACAGTGGTGCACTGGCTACACAATGAGACAAAGATGGCGCCTGACGCTCTTGTTGTGGGTCGCGGTACAACAATATTCATGCGCCAGGCGAAATAGTCCGGTATTCATCCGCGTTCGTTGTAGGAGTTGCGTTCGTTATAGCATTCTCAATTTTATAGGTAAAACCATTCGTTATAGGAATATTCGTAGTAGGATCCGTTCGTTATAGCATACTTGTGAAGATGTGATCACGCATATAGCCTAGATCACGCGCACCTACAGTGATTTACTTGCATATATATATATATATATATATGTATATATGTGTGTGTGTGTGTGTGTGTGTGTTTTTTTACTACAGATTCATAATTAGCATGTTCAGGAGTACAGTACCTATCTATACATGCTGAGATTTTGAACAAAATCAAAAGGATCAAGATTACACCTGAAACTGTCAAACTTACCCATTAGTGATATTTTACCCACATACCCTTCTTTCTCTCAGAATTTGAATTTAATGTGTTTAAATACTTAAGTCCTACATCCATAATAACAATACAAAAACACCAAAAAGCACCAATGAAAAATCATAGATTTTTTTTAAGTTTTGTGTTTATTCCCATTTAGTGACTATGGTTTCAGAATTATCAGAGCAGTAATACAGTAACCTCTCCAGTGATAGACATTACAGTACAGTACTGTAGTAACCTGTGAAGTGAGCCACTGAAAGGAGGCATCTTCATGTTAGCTGTTTATATGTATAGTGTGAAAAGAACCCCAAAATAATTTTCCTCCAAAATAATGGAAAATGCACATGAGGACGATACTTGGGATGGCATCAGTGATGAAGACATCTTGGCAGTTGATTTAGGTAATAATACAGACCTATAGTTTTAATTTACTTATTTTTTTAATGGCAGACTCAAGTTGGTGAGTGTTCATCTAAACTCCCTTTTTGCTGTTATATAATGGGGCCCCACTTGTGACATATTCTGTATCCTACTACCCTAGTGTCTACGATGTCATATTTTAGTGAGAAAGGTTAGTTTTCTGTTTTGCACAAAATATTTAAAAAAAAAGAAAATATTGGCTTTTCAATTTACTGTTTTGATAGGGAAGGGAAACCTGTTGCTTGTTGAGTCTCCCTATTGCTCCTGAAGATTGTCCATCTTCAGTCATAGGTTTGGTGTCAGTATAGAAGGCAACTAAGAGTACCTGGAGAATACTTATTACTGTACTGTATTATGTATAGCTACTATATGGTAGGAGCACACTGGTCAATACTCTTCACACTGATTCGAGACCAGACCCAGGACGTAGTAGTGAGAGGTGAGTGTGCTGCTTCCACCATCCCCTTTAGTTTTTACTTCACCACATTAGGGAAAATGTTGAAAATTGGGGTAAAATTTGGCCAAGACCGAATGTACCAGTAACTCAGTTTTTCCCAGGAGAAACCAAGTTGCAAGTTAACAACATTTAAAGTTATTACAATTCCAAACTTTAAATTTACCTTATTTACCTAATGACCATCCAAACTAGAGGTGGCCACGCCGAGGGAAAGAGGCCAGAGGCATATATACTGCACTCAAAATTATATTCAAATACTGTACCTGTATAATAATCAAAAGGAAATTAGAAGGATAGCTAATTGGGACACACAACAGGCAGTACAATTGAGATATATTTATGTAAGATTCGCCACTAATACAGAAAATAAAGAAAAAGAACTACAGTACGAGTAGTCTGATATTCAGCTCAGAAAACAAAAATGAAGACACAAACTCTGCTGACATAACCTCTTAACTTAGTAAGTTAGAATGAAGAAAAATCATTTGGATATAAAATGTGGTACAATACTCTACTGTACTATATACTAGTTCATCTTTGGAATTTTCTCTTATTCAGAACAAGTAGAGGAACAAGCTACAACCAGTGCATCAACTGAGTCCACCAAGAAGAGATATCATACAGGCAGCTCCAAAGAGGATGATTCAGATTTGGTGATAAAGATGGTTAAAGTGGATGAAGAGTTACAAGGTACTGTATGTCACTCTCGCCTTTCTCTCACACACATAATTTAGCTGTATGAAAAAAAATAACACATATATCAAAATACTCAGTGATTTGAGATCATCCCTCAGACTCCAACAGTTAAAAAGAAAATTAATACATTTTGGGGGGGAAATCCTAACATGGGTGGAGGGTACGTAATCCCATCCAAAAATGCTGTGTTGTCATGCTTAACTGTCACATGACACATATGTTTACTGGCATGACAGTATGCCAAGAAGCTCACTATAACCTTACTTGTACAGACTTGATACTTTTCTAAATAGTTGTGTTAATTGTCATTAAGATGTAGCCATTTTCTGTCATCGAGCAGACGAACCCTTTAATGTAATCTACAGTGTCCATCATTTTCTAAGATTATTTTCACAGCTTCCATGCCCTGTGTCTCTCATTATTGGAAATTTGTTTTTGTATACAGTATTCAAATTATTGCCCCTTGTTTATATATTACATTATTGTGAAAGTTTATAAAATGAGCATTAATAAAAAGAGATAGCTTTGCTGTACTACTGTACAGTATATGAAAGGTTCTTAGGAAAATACTGTACACCTGTAGATATTTTGCCTTTCTGTGAAATTCTATTCTCTCAGCAATATCAAGCCTCATATGATTCTTTCCTTGAAACATTCTCTTGATATCATTAGTGTCAAGGGTATGGAGAGGAAAACTGAGTATGACGCTGTGTTCCAACCATGCACTATGTAGACACTTCCTGTCAGGTTGGTACAGAACTGTATTAAAATGGACCAGGAACTGAGCCAGTCACATCCATCAGGTTTGACAGTACAGTAATGGATTGGTAATTTTATTTATTTTTTTCTATGACGAGTCCAGGAAAACCAAAATATGGAACAGTATCTCAAAAGCCTGGGTAATTAGAATTGTTACTGTAATTTTTCCAGTAGAAGAAACTAAGAATCAATTTATATAAAATCCATACATACAGTTGTACCCCGCTTAACGCGGTTTCACTTAACGCGATTTCTCATATACGCGGTGCCTCGCCAGAACCGAACTTTCACTTAACGCGGTTCATCTACTCATATACGCAGGAAGCGGCGCGGGCACGATGCGCACAAGGTCGCCCAGTCATCAAAACATTACCGAGTTCTTCACCCGCCACCCACCACAGCCGGCCCAAGTCAGTGATAGTGATAATTATAGTGAGGATATGGACTTTGAGGGGTTTGACAAAGAGGCCCTGCAAGCCTCTGTGGTGGATAGTGATACAATTAATACAAGTGATACAGGTGAGGGCCAATAATCTGCCCTCTGCCTCAGAACCAACCCCCCATCCCCGTGTGCCCAGCCATCTTTTCTACTAATGTAAGTGTTAAAAAACCTAATATTATTGATATTTCTCTTAATTATTAATTGTGTGTGCATACCATCATAAAGTTAAGATAATATTTTTACTACAACATAGTTGTGTGTCGTCAAAAAGTGGAGTTTGGGGGTCGGGCCAGTCTCTATTGGAATTAATCCCATATGTTCTGTTGTTCACTTAACGCGATTTTCACTTAACGCGGTACCCTGTGGGTTCAATTGACCGCGTTAAGCGGGGTACAACTGTTTATGGAATACAGATATAATGTAAAATGAGGAGTAGAATTTTTTTAATATTACGTAAGAACAATACTGTTTACTACATTATGAAGCATGAATTACCAGTACAGGGGTACAATGTATTTATATTGTAAGATGATAGGGGATCATATTTAAAATAATTTACATACTGTACTGTATTCATTTTTATTTCAGATGGCAGTAAACCTATGCATGTACCTCCACTAGAATCTCTCAGAGGTGGATATCTGTGGGTATCAGATATTTCCTCACAGATATGGTGTGAACAACAACTGGAGTACCGGTTATCTCTACCACCTGATGTCATCATTCCTGAACCTAAGGCAGTGACTAAAGGCTCAGAGTTACATTTAGCACGAGGTGGCTATGTTATTAGTCCATTGTTTATTAGTGTACTTACCGAAGATGAAAGGATGTTGGTTACATTGAATATAAGAGGGATATTGGTAGTTATTACAACACTGTGCAGCATATATACTGTATATATATTTAGGAGAAATATTTGTAATTGTTCTTTCACTGTTTCTTTCTTTAGCCTTCTCTTGCTATGGTGCAGGGTTAGCATTCAACAGGTACCTGTAGTGGGTCACTCCATCCCCTTGAAAACCAAAGATTTAATCCACCAACACCAAGAGCACCCAATAACATACTTAGAGTATTTAAAACTGAATGCACAAAGGCTAATTTACTAGAAGGGATGCCAATCTTTTGTTCTGTATCCTGCAAGGTAACCACCTTATTTAGTTGAACTATGGAACCATTGGTAATTGTTAGTACTGTACTGCATGTTAAGTACTACAGTGAAGTATCTCTCCTGGACATCCTCTTTTCTGGTTACTCACTAGAATATCTTGTTAGTCATGCTAATCTGTTTACATGTTGTATGCCAAGTTTTGATACTGGTGCTGGCCACTGGGTCATCCATGGCTTAGGGGTGCATGACACAACATTGGCTGTCACACAACTCCCCGGGGACCCATGTCATGGTGTGATTGGTTCCTCTTCTCTTGGTGTAGCCTTTGATGTTCCAAAAATAATTGGCAACTACTGTAGTGAGCGCCTTTCTGAAGGTCCAGGCTGGCAATGTGACTTGTGGGCCTTGTTGAAAGTCCAGGCTGGTAGTATGACCAGTGAGCCTTGTTGAAAGTCCAGGCTGGTAGTGTGACCAGTGAGCTTTGTTGAAGGTCCAGGCTGACAGTGTGACCAGTGAGCCTTATTGAAGGTCCAGGCTGGCAGTGTGACCAGTGAGCCTTATTGAAAGTCCAGGCTGGCAGTGTGACCAATGGAACTTGTTTAGGGGATTTTTAGAGGAATTTCTTTTATGGACTTGAGGAATTTGAAATGTGTGACTACTGGACAAGTTTCAGCTCCCAGACCAGAATCTTCATTGGACTATTAGTCAACCACACGTTTAAATGGGACCAAAATTTTTCCCTATAGCCATCTTGAAGAGAAAAAGCTCCCAGTACTAAAAACATTGTCTTCTATTGTCCAGCTGGATAGTGTATTCAATCTATTAAGCATTTCAAGCTCTCTGCCAGAGGCTGTACAGTACAGTATTGTGGAATGAATCTCATATACGGGTATCACTTTTTTCTTCATAAAATGGAATTTCACATATTAATCTTTCATTTGTAAGTGAAAACTTGGTACTGTATTATACTGTATACTGAAGGGGTAGAGTGTGCCTTATAAGGGAGCACATAGGATTACTAAACACACATACTGTACATACACAATATGGTGGAGTTCTTGGCCATTTTAAACATTTATTGTAGACTAAGCTATACATTTGTAGCTCATACTCAATAGAGCATTTTAATTATATATGAATCACTCATTAACTTCAATTACCCATAGTTCCAAAACTGTTCATAGAATATTTTTAACTGGAAATTACCTAAAACATAGCTTCTGAGGTATTGAAAAAGTCATGGGAGACCCTGTACAGTATATATATATATATATATATATATATATATATATATATATATATATATATATATATATATATATATATATATATATATATATATATATATATATATATATATATATATATATATATATATATATATATATATATATATATATATATATATATATATATATATATATATATATATATATATATATATATATATATATATATATATATATATATATATATATATATATATATATATATATATATATATATATATATATATATATATATATATATATATATATATATATATATATATATATATATATATATATATATATATATATATATATATATATATATATATATATATATATATATATATATATATATATATATATATATATATATATATATATATATATATGTATATATATGGTATATATATCTTGATAAAATCACACGGGAAAAGGGAAACATATATATATTAAAGATGTTTTAATATTCAGTACATTTACTGTATCTTGATTTTTCTTTCTAGAATTGGAAGTTCAAGATTATGTAAACATAAAAGTGACTTCAAGTGAAGACATATTTGCAGTTAAGGTGAGGATTCTTGTTCTAGTTACCATTGGTCACATTCACCTGCAGTATAAAATAGGATAGGTAGATACTGAATTTATAAAATAGTTATTACTGTATATGATGTGGGATTTTGTTGCTGAAGTACTGTACTAAATTGAACATATCCAGGTTTTGTATTTCAATTAATTTGAAATGTAATCTTTTTAACACAGCATAATTTATATAGTTTTACCCCTAAATATTTTCATGGATAGCATACTAGCATAGTAAGAGAGATAAAACAACCCCTTCCAGTGTAATGGAAGAAGGATCGGGGTCTGAAGAGAGGTACAATAAATGTCTTCTCTTAAGGGTAAAGGGAGAGCATTTAGTCATAGTATTGTTACAGATAGTCCATAGGTCATAAATGGTCAACACATAAAAGTTCTTCACATTTTGAGATAACTTTTTCATTGATGTCTGCCTTTTGTTGACAGGTCCTCAACCTTCTCATAGTTTTCAAGAGTATCCTGACTCATTCATCAACAGTACATCGAGAAGTTCCCATTTTTGGAGTTGTGGACGGTGTGTTTATCTTAGGTAAAATAGATGAAGTAAGAGTAGATGATGAAACCTTTAATCTTGATATTGTGGACCTAAAGACGAGAAGATATCAGAGGCCTCCAGGGAAAGCCCAGAAGATTGCACATGATGCTCAGGTTAGTTCAAAAAAGTAATTTTCTCAGAGATTTCCTTACTTTTTAGAGCATATGTATGTGATGAATAATTATAGAAACTAACTCTGTACCTTCTCTTGTTAATTGGCCCATACAGAGTCTCTCTCTCTCTCTCTCTCTCTCTCTCAAATATAACCAGTGGAGAGAACATTCTCATTCCACCTGGAGGTTACTTGATGTACAGTATTCACACTAGTATAGGCAGACATGGTTCAAAAGAGTGGACACTTTCAGCAGACACCAGAAAGAGACTTGAGGCTTTTGATACCATATGTAGTGCTACAGGAGAAAGAAAAATGAGTCAAACTGTTAAAAAGACAATTGAAAAAGTTTTGAGATTGATGAGAACAGTGAAAGAAATACTGTAGGGTACTAGAAATTTTGAATAAGAAAAATTAAGTACTTTGGCCATATAAGAAAAGATGAGAGGATAATTGTAAAGTTATTAATGGGTAAAACTGAGATTAGTAGAGTCAAGGGAAGGCAGAAACTGGGATGGATGAACAAAAATTAAAAAACCGAGTCCCAGATATATAATGTACTACTGTACAAAATCTGAGAGGATTGATAAAGATAGCCAGAAAAAACTTTGAGTAGAAGGCCAGACACGAGGATGGCAACCTGATCGATTGTTAGACAGCAGATTGTTGATGTGTTAACTGACCAACACAGGATACTGAATCAGATTCAAAGATGGCCATCTTAGGTGTTGTGAACAATGGAAGGACTATGTGCTCTTGCATTGGGTTTTGAAAGACCTCAGTACACTCATTGCACATTCTTGAGCCACCTAGAACTGTACAGTACTCTAGGATACACACATACCATACCAGTATCTGTTGTCTGGCCCAGTCCAGCTCACATTGAAGAAACAGGTCTGCTGCAGTGGTATATATTTGGTTTCTGCATTCAAAACTCTTTGATTTCACCAGGGTTTTTCTTCATGTTTTAAGTTTATTCTTTATATTAATAAAATATTCTACAATTGTTTGTAAATTATATACTGTATGCAAAGACCCTTGATAATTCAGACAATAGGAGGGAAGGGATGTCTGGATGAGGCAATTAACTGGATATTATTGGGGAAAACACCTGGTAATAAAAATAACTTCCACTACAATGGGGTAATGTTGAAAACTTCATTGTAATGCAGAAAATTGCTTCATAATGTATTTCTTTTTTCTCATTAGTTTCCTTTATGAAATGCAAATTAGTCTAATACAGTATTAAGAATACTGTACTACTAAAAATGACTCTGCAATGGTATGGATACAGTATTTTCATTCATAAATGGGACTTTGTTTATCCATAGGTGATGTTATATAAGCATCTTTTTGATAACTTGGTGCGTGGTTTCATCCCCTGCCATAGTCTCAGAGTGGCACTCAAATTGGATCTTGATCGAACCTTGGGAGAGAGTGTGACAAAACACATCTGCAGCAGTCTTACAACATTATTAAGTAAAGATAAGAAAGGTAAGTAACACATTACAGTGTCATGCTTCTGTAATAAGAATTCCATTGTTATGTTCTTTGCCCTTATCAGAAACTGCATCTAACCTTTGTGACAATAAAAGTGCATCATAAAAAAGCACAGTTGTAGACACAGGAACTCCTCACTCAAAGTTGATTCAGTTACCATTGTTTTGTTATAACATAGCTGAAACTTTACTGCCCAGATTCGTTTAGTGTCACACCCTGTTTCACCATTTAATTTCATCTGCGAGTACACCATTAAATTGTGACAAGGAGCGTGGGAACCACACAGAGTACCTAAGTCATATCCCCACCCAGCTGATGGTCTTATCACATTTATCATTTAGGTTGTGACTCCCTTTTCACACTTGATTTTTGGTCGTATTTTAATGAGCTTACATAATGTCTTCTAAACATGCAGCAAGTAACAGCTGGTAGCAAGAGGGCTAGGAGAATGTGGCTACAGTGACAAGTCTAATTTGGCAACAATGCCACCACAGATGTTAACAAATGCAAATGAAAAGAAAATTATCAGTAAATCTTCTTTCGTGTTAAGTATTTGTAGATTTAAAGCAGCACATACAGCACTGTATAGTGAATGAGGTTCTGCTCTTTGTGTAGCAACATTAAAATAGAATCTAGGGGTATGGTAGGCAAGCCCAGGATAAAAGAGGTTACTGGTAATGTTAGCCTACCGTATTAACCATGCACTGTACTAGGTAGCTATCGTTCACCATAAATGACCCACAGACATGTATGAATTTTCGCCCCTCAAAATAATACATTATACCTGTACAGTAAAGTTCAAACTCTTACTTTTTACATAAAAATTTGATCATAAAAACCTGAACTACACTCAGGTATATACAGTATACAGTACAGTACTGTACTCTATACCACTGTATAGAACAGATGGTAAAACAGTAAAAAAGTGTGTGGATCAGCTGGAAGCTTATTGTTTTGATGCGTTGTACTGTACTCATTTGCCAACCCTTTTCATAAAGACATCAATAAATTAATCCATCAGTTAATAAATATTTTTAATGCTTAATCTTTCATTTTAGTATACATGTACAGGTGTTAACCGGTATATGATGTTAAGAAATTTAATGCCAAATACCACTATGCGATGGCTAAGATCAGATTTACGATGGCTGTTACCTGATGGCTACCCGAATGCTTTTCCTGCATTGTCACTGCTATGAAAAAGTGATGTGCAATAACTCACAATATTCTGAGATATGATGACGCAATCTCGGAATGGCGTAACACATGTGACACACGCGGGATGCATTGGGATACTCTGCTTGTCCCCAGTGACTGCCAGGCTGAACTGTGTCGCGTTGCTCAGAAGATGGTGTGAGTGTGGAAGAAGCTATTCTTTGTACATAAAATAAATAAATACTGTACCAGTAAATGTGAGGAATAAATATAAATGATACTAATAAAAAAAAAGTTGCATTGCCATTTGGCATTCGTGTCACTACACACGAGACAAAGAACAGCTGAGAACCCCCACTCTGCTCCCCCTCCCCCGCTCTGTGTGATAACGCCTGCACATTCAAGAAATATGTACAGTATTCTCTTAAATTTTTACCTTATAATAATTATATCTTCAATTTTGTTATTATTAATTTTTTTCACATTATGTATAAAATGTTGTGTGTGTTCATGTGAGAGTTGTGAATTCTCGGAACAATCTGCCAGAGAGTGTAGTGACAGCACCGAGTGTGAGTTCTTTCATGACCAGACTTGACCAACACTGGAACAGGTTCAGATACATTCAGGAGCCAGTGCATGCCCAGTACTTGCCAACAGTGCATAACAGAGATGTGACCGATCACCCAAGCGGCTAACGAGCCGATCAATGGTGAATAGGATAAAAGTAAAAGTAACTAGAAGTAAGAAAAAAGAAAAAAGTATGTCTACTCAAAATTACGAGTTGAAAAATAACCACTCTGCTAACTCTGACTCTTCAGGGCCTCAAGAACAGAACATAATTTCCCCATAAATTATATCATTGTACAATCAGTCGCCTTGTGATGACTTTTTGACGTCCCTAAACCCATTGTATAACAGTCAACACCTGTTCTGTACAGTTGATGCTATAAAAGGGCAGACATATCTTAAACAGGGGTAAACACTGTACAGTAGTTGTAGTGATAGATGGTTGAAGTGGTTCCACGACTGTAACCCAAATTTCCCCACAAATGGAACTTACATTTGTAGAATTTTAGTTACACAACCCCATTACCCCAAATAGGGATACAATCTCACATCTAACTGAGGGCATGGCATGGCTTCCCCAAAATATTATAAATGGTGTGATGCTCTACTATGCATACCCAGGGCATAAGTGGTTGGATAAGGGTATACTCAAATTCTATTTTTCATAATAGGAAATCAATTGTCTGATAAACTAAATGTAGCTTCCTCACTTATGACTTTAATTTTATGTTATTTATTGCAGAGGATTCATGGAATTTGTCACAGCTGTTAGATGAACTTAGGAATGCTGCAGAAAGTCTACCTTTTATTAACCAGCTCTTCATAGATTATGTCTGGCAAGAGAGTCAGCAAACATTCTTGATGGAGGAGGTGAGAATTAATATGCTTCTAAGTATCTCACACTTGCCCATGTAGTATACAGGCATTCCCCAATTTATGAAAGAATTCCATTCTTGAAAAACCAAAAATATAATAAGATGCTACAAAACATATTTCAAAGTCAAAGTTTTTTGGTGTACACAATGATTATAAACAAAGAATAAACGATAAGTGAAATACATCCAATGAAGTACACAAAGTTACTGATAAATTACTCCACTGGTTGTGATGCAGTGTGAGATTGAGGGCCAGCCAAGACATTTGGTTTGAATTTCATAGTGACTCCCCATCAGTAAATGTATACTGCACTGAATGTACTGTAGATACTGCATTGCATGTACTGTATTGTACATTTTGAGATGCTTTGCTTTCATCGGATTTTATTTATGAATAGGATTTATCTAAAGAGCTGCTAAACTTGTACATTTAACACTTAATTCTTTCCATTGACATCAAATTAAACTCTTGAGATACATGTATTATATTTTTAGCTTAATTAACAATTCATAATACAGTGCAGTTCTGTATGTGTTTTTAGTTTAATTGTCTTTATAAAATGATCAGGTCTGGTATGAGAAATCCTAAGATGTCTGTGTCAGCACCTCAGTACCTTCCAAGGCTGGAAAAAAAATTACGAGACAAGCAAATAGGATTTTTTTTCGTAACTTCAAATTTATAATTTCCTCTATATATACAGTCATACCAGGAACCTAACCACTTTTTCTCGATGAACTAGGGTTTCTACATACAGGTATGCGGTTTCTCCATTTGTAAGGTTAGGTTCTTGAAAAACCTTGCAAATGCAAAAACCATATGTCGAAACATTATTTCAGCTAGAAATAGGAAGTTAGGTTCCTGGTAGTGTAGTGTACGACAGTGATAGATATAAAATGTACACTTAAAAGCAAATATTATTTGATAAATGCAATATTATTATGCATATACTAATCACAACTTCTTAATTTCTAGGTCAAATATGATGGTGTATGGTTAGAAAATCAAATGGCAAAATATCTCAAGTACTGGAAGGGCGAGAGGGAGTGCCAAGGGGTTGACGTTGAAGATGCTTGGAAATGTCACTCCTGTGATTTTCAGGATGGTTGTAAATGGATTGCCAAGAAAACCAGAGAACACCAACTTGCAAGAGACAGAAAAAACAATACAAAGTAACGTGCCAGTGAAATCATTTGATAGTACTTCTGTGGTGATAATTCGGTAGTGACAATTTTTGGTGAGAAGTGCAGGTAGATATACAGCACATAGACCACAGGTCAGTGAACTACATAGGTTTTGAGTTACATTGCTTTCTATTGGTAATATGCATCACCATGACATCACAGTACCGGGTAATTACAAGCCTGACAAGAGACTATGCAGCACAGACAGCTGCCATCAGGTAATTACAGCTAACCCACATAATCATGTAAAATGGCCGTAAAAAGTTGATGATACAGATATCTAGACGGTCCGTCCCTCGTAACGATCTTAAAGAGTGAAGTGCTTCCCCATCTGGAGTACTGTCACCCTATCTGGTCCCCGAGATATGCTAGGGACTGTCAGTTGGTTGAAAATGTTCAAAGGAGGGCCACCAGACTGGTGCCTGCACTTCGGCACCTCAACTACCCTGAGAGATTGGAGCGCTTGAACTTGCCTAGCTTAACCTACAGACGGGCAAGGGGGGACTTAATTGAGGTGTATGAGCTTCTCAAGGGGCACTACTCAGTCGAGTGTCCTAACTTGGAGCTGACGGACGCTCGCCCCACAAGGGGTCACAGCTCAAGATTGAAGAGGCCGCAAGTCCAGAAAACTGTGAGTGCAAACTTTTTCGGAGTGGGAGTTGTGAACTCTTGGAACAATCTACAAGAGAGTGTTGTGACTGCACCGAGTGTGAGTTCTTTCAAGACAAGACTTTACCAACACTGGAGCAGGTTCAGGTACATTCAGGAGCCGGTGCATGTCCAGTACCTGCCAACAGTGCGTAACAGAGAGCCAGTACATGCCCAGTACTTGCCAACAGTGCATGACAGAGACGTGACCGATCGCCCAAGCGGCTAATTAGCCGATCAGTGGTGAAGAGGATAAAAGGAAAAGCTGCTAAGTTTTGTATTTCATATTAGGTTAAATGATTGTGTATGTGAGTAATATAGTTGATATTAAAGAATTTCCTGCATCCCTCATGTGATCATTCTCTTCTCCCACCCTCGTACTGCTGCAGCCTCGATAGTGATCACCAAGATTCTCACACTTCATGATAAGTAATTTTAATCCATGTACAGTCCCTTGAATCTGGATCTCAGAAAACTAGAGAATCTCAAAAACTGAACATTTTCTTCCCTGGGATCATCCATCTGTTACCCAAGTATGGTGGTTCCCAAATTGGGGTACCCTTACTCCTAGGGGCAAAAGTAAGGGGCATGGGTGATGATTTCCAGGGGGCACGTGAATTATTGATCAAAACTAATAGTGACGATGCAAAGTTATTCAGGAAATTTAAGATCTCTGTCGGCTTCAAGAGTGTAGAAGAAATGGCTGCTAAGATTCAATGTCATGAAGTGTAAGAGGATGCACCCAGGTTGTACCAACAGTAAGGAAGCGTGTCACATATCACAAAGGGAAGAAGAAACAGCATTAATAGAGACCGACTGTGGAAAGGACCTGGGTGTGTATGTTGACAATGAACTGAAGTTCTCGTGTCATTGTGAGAAGATGTTATCCAGCAACTAAACTAGTAGGTCTTATATAAGAAGGTCGTTCAGCTGTCTAGATGGTCTGTCCCTCGTAATGCTCTTCAAAAGTGAGGTGCTTCCCCTGTCTGGAGTATTGTCATCCCATCTGGTCCCTGAGATGTGCTAGGGACTGTCAGTTGATTGAAAATGTCCAAAAGAGGGCCACCAGACTGGTGCCTGCACTACAACACCCCACTTACCAATGAGATTTTAGAATGCTTGCAACTGCCTAGCTTATATTATACCGGTAGATATAGACAGACTAGGGGCAGCTTAATTGAAGTTTATAAACATCTCAACGGACACTACTCAGTCGAGTGTACATACCTGGAGTTGGCGGACACCCACCCCACAAGGGGTCACAACTCTGTATTAAAGAAGCTACAAGTCCAGAAACTTTGTGAGTGAGAATTGTAAACTCTTGAAACAATCTGCCAGTGTTTTCATGGCTCTGAGTGTAAGCTCTTTCAAGACCAGACTTGACCAACGTTGGTTTAGGTACAGATACATTCTGGAGCCAGTACATGCCCAGTACTTGCCAACAATGTGTAACAGAAATGTGACTAACCACCCAAGCAGCTAACAAGCTGATTGGTGGCAAAGAGGTTAAAAAAAAGTGATGTATTGTCTATTGTCTTTAAACATCTGCCTCAAAATGCTTGTGGTTTTATTACTTTACTTGTTGATGGTATTTAAATAAAATGGAACTTTTTTCTGTTCACACAGAAGTCATTCCCCCTGCAATCACAACAAATCTCCCCCAATGATTAATTTATTGCTTATACTGTATGTTGTGTGGCTCCATCTGAGTAAGAAGTCATAGGGCTGGGCTGGGGAATAACTCACTGTTTACCTTTGTCCATTCTCCTGGTTGTACTGGTGCACTTGCCTCCAGCCCTGTGGGGTACAGGTTATTTGGGTTCACACTCAGGATGGGATGGAGAAAAGAAACTCACAATGTGCTCTCTGTATACATATTGTATTGGATGTACAGTGCAGCTTGGTGCTGGGGAGTGGCAGCGTGGTTACAAGCGTGATGTAGAGAGAGCTGGTTGGTAAGGGTGCTCAGAGGAGGACAAGCTTGTGGGTCGCCGGCGAGAGCGAGGGCCGCCAGGCAGGAGTGGAGGCGGTGTTACTTGAAGACTGGCTGTAGGTAGAAAGCGGTAGGTCACCACGAGGTCAGGTCTTATATAGCGGAGGTAGGCGTGGCTTAATAGTTGGCCTCCGTCATGTAAGGCGGCGCTGGTTGACCTAGACCACGAGGCATACACTGGGGAATTCGCGGGATCTGCTACTCAGCGACAAGCGTTTGTAGGGGAGGAATCCACTACTTTCCCCTTTTATGTAACCAACCAGAGTCTGTTCTTTTATTCATCTAATCCTCTCTCTCTCTTTTGCTTCAAGCTCACCAGGTCGAGTTCTTTGTGCTGTTCCATTCCCTCTGCATTACTATGATTTGGACTTGGGAAAATGTTCTGAAAAGTTTGTTACCTGTTACTTTGTTATTAATTTTATAGTCCTGTGGTATGTCTTGTACCAGAAGGTGGTGCCTATCATAGAATCATGTGATACTAGGGGCGGATCCAGGGGGTCCTGGGGGTCCAGACCCCCCCTTTTTATCAGAAAATTCCAATACTTATCCTTTAATGTCGTATTGTATGCAGGCGTTTTTGTATAGTAAAAAGTTATTACCTTTGACCTCAGAATATCTCCTAATATCAAATGTACAGTAGCTAAAACAACTACAGGTATCAGTGCATACGTTGTGGGAAACAATATGAGACCATGGACGATAAATATTGGTATTTGAGGGCTGTTACTAGTCACACGTAAAATTTTGGAGCATATCCACCCCCACCTGCGCAGATAGTTGTTTTAGATACTGTACATGACTTCAAAATGCCCATGATATTAGTCAGATTTCACCCTAGCTGGGTGAGCTCGCTGTGCTCGCCATGTTCCCCTACCCACAACTTTTTGGACCCCCCCCCCTTTTTGTATTCCTAAATCCGTCCTTGGATACATGTCGAAGTATGCGAGGAGGGCGACTACAGAGGAGGCAGGAACAATTTAATACAAGTTTTAAAACCTCGGCCCAAAGTGCATGAGTTAAAAAATGCGCCTTCATATTAGTTATACAGCTGACAGCCGCCCCAGCCTCAGCTTGAGTAAGTTATGTTAAAAAAACTATCAGAGATAAATTATTTAGAAGAGTAGTCAACACTTAGAATAACCTGACAGAGAACGTTGTGACAGTACCTATTGAGTACAAGTCCAGGAATGGCAGAAGTTGACACATCTCCAAGTGGATTCAAGAAGTCGTGCATGTTCATGTTACTTGAGAACAGTGTGTAGCAGAAAATTTACCGACCATCAAATAGCCTTAAGATTTACCCTCCTGTCAATCATGTATAGAATATGAAGTATGGTGAATTTTTCCAGATACCGATTGCCAGACCATTTTCACTATTTTCCCCTTAGAATTCATGTCTTACTGTATTCTTACATTGTGTCAGGTGCGAATTTGCTGGAGGTTCTCTGGCCGAATAAACAAACACTTTACCATTGTTTGTACACTCACAAAATGTGCACACTTAACCCAGTCTACCTATGAGAATAAGGGAAGGAAAAACGCTGCGAAATCTTGAGTGTCTCGTTGGATCAATAGACAATTTTAAGAGGCATAACAAGTATATTTCAATGAATATCAGTAGTGTAATAGATTCGCTAGTAGAATTAACAATAAAGAATATCAGTTTGTCTATGAGAGTGCACCTGGACACTATACATTAGTATCCCTTAGAAAGAATGAAAAGATAAGGGAGACAGACAGCAGAAGTCCCCGCGTGGCCGTCTTAAGATGTTGCCAGTTTAACCTGAAATTTAAATACGGCTATAACCAGTTCCCAGTGCATAATTTTTGGGCTGAATAAATATTTACATTAATGTTACTGAATATTAACTGGATTAAAACGTCTTGAATACAATTGTTATTTTTTATTGATTATACGGTTAAAGATAATTTAAAGGCATCAATTTTGGCTCCAGCTGCTGCTAGCAACATTAACAATGTTAAAAGGACACCTGGTAAGCGACCACTAAATAATTTATTTTCCAGACAGTACAAATAAACCAAGCCTAATTATATCGAGTAAATAATTATAAAATATTTTAACTCAATTCATGTTTAGTTCCGTACGGCTGATTGTTTTGTCTACCTTTGAAAATAAATAGTTTAGCAGTGTGTTCTTGGTGGCTCTCAACATTGATCACATCTTCCTACGCCTTCTGCTACGAACCAACATGGCTAAAGTGTTGCTCAGTGGTTTCTGTAGTATTACCAGGAAGATCTCCCCTCAGCACCTACAGAGGATCACTCCCCTATGGAACAATGTCCCTAGACACCTGAGCACTGCACGCAGTCTGCTGTCAGGTGAGGTCACGGCCAATTAGGCTTCACAAAAGAGATTAGAATTGAGGCTGGTGTTTTGAGATACTGTGGAATTGACGCCGTCTGCTGCCGCACACTCTTAGTGTTCATTGTCTCGCTGTGCTGCATCTCGTAATTGTTGTATAGCATGAAGGAAATTATCCTTTAACTGGAATTATGTAAGTGATCGTATAATTTCCTGGCATGACATGTGGCCTGTGGCTACACAACAGGTCCGGCTCTCTCCCTATTTCTCAAAGTGGTTATTTTACCGGAATTCCGGATAGTATTAAGTTAGATGTTCGTCTATCCATAAATAGTTAAGCTATTTTGTAAATTATATACGGTACTGTGGGGTATGAGATTTTTGGTGTTCACTCAGGATGGGGTGGAGAAAGGAAACTCACAATGTGCTCTCTATATACATGTTGTATTGGATGTACAATGCAGCTTGGTGCTGGGAAGGCAGCATGGTTACAAGCGTGATGTAGAGAGAGCTGGTTGGTGAGGACGCTCAGAGGAGGACAGCTTGTGGGTCGCCATGCTCGCCAGCGGGAGAGAGGACCGCCAGGCAGGCGGAGGAGCGAGGGCCGCCAGGCAGCGGTGGAGGTGGAGGTGTTGCTGGCTGCGGCTGTAGGTAGAAAGAGGCAGGTCACCACGAGGTCAGGTCTTAAATAGCGGGGGTAGGCGTGGCTTAGTAGTTGACCCCCGCTCCGTGGTGTATGGCGGCGCTGGTTGACCTAGACCACGAGGCATACACTGGGGAATTGGTGGGGTCGGCTACTCAGCAACAAACAGCGTTTGTAGGGGAGAAATCCACTACAATACTCCCCCTTCCCTCCAGGCGGTGTAGGAGACTTGTTGTCTGCAGGGTTGCTTAGCACATGTGAGGCAGAACGGGCGGTGCATGCCTCATGTGAGACAACAGCGATGGCGTGGATGAGCCTGTCGCTGGATACAACTGTCTAGATACACACTATCTGTGGGAGAAGAGAGGGAGAAAAAGGGTGTGTGGAGGCGATGAATGTTGTGCTTCCCTCATGGCAGGTACAGAGTCGTCAGATGTGCCTGCTGGGGTGTGTGGGCCTGGGTCAGGAGCAGGGGCTGCGTCAGCAGAAGCGGATGAGGGCTCGTGACAGCAGCAGGGTGCAGAACATTAGCAGGGAGTACCTGAGGGAGAAAAGAGGGGTGTGTGGGTCTGCACTCAGGAACAGAGGCCGCGTCAGGGGCGGCAGGGGTTACTGCTGGGCCGGGGTCGGTGTCTGAGGCAGGACGGGTGTGCTGGGGTCGGTAGGACGTGGTGCTTGGGGGCAGGAAAAGGAGCTGGTGTCTGCTTGGAGAAACAGTGCTGCTCTAGGGTGTCTAACCTGCGGTGTAGAGACAGTAGTTGTAGAGCCGATGAGAGCTGCTTCTGTGTGGATAAGCCAGTCTTCCATGTTGCTTGAAGACTGGGAGCGTGATCAGTTTCTCCTCCATCCTGTGTGAGTGCGAATCTCCAGGAGTCACCATTTGTGGGGTATGAGATTTTTGGTTCACACTCAGGATGGGGTGGAGAAAGGAAACTCACAATGTGCTCTCTATATACATGTTGTATTCAGCGACCGGCTCATCCACGTCATCGCCGTTGTCTCACATGAGGCATGCACCGCCCGTTCTGCCTCACATGTGCTATGCAACCCTGCAGACAACAAGTCTCCTACACCGCCTGGAGGGAAGGGGGAGTATTGTAGTGGATTTCTCCCCTACAAACGCTGTTTGTCGCTGAGTAGCCGACCCCACCAATTCCCCAGTGTATGCCTCGTGGTCTAGGTCAACCAGCGCCGCCATACATCACGGAGGGGGGTCAACTACTAAGCCACGCCTACCCCCCGCTATTTAAGACCTGACCTCGTGGTGACCTGCCTCTTTCTACCTACACCAACCAGCCAGCAACACTACCTCCGCCTGCCTGGTGGTCCTCGCTCCTCCTCCGCCTGCCTGGCGGCCCTCGCTCCCGCCGGCGAGCATGGCGACCCACAAGCTGGTCCTCCTCTGAGCATCCTCACCAACCAGCTCTCTCTACATCACGCTTGTAACCATGGTGCCTTCCCAGCACCAAGCTGCATTGTACTACAGTACTATATAAAAATGCACCATCAAATGTGTTGGTAAAGGTGACATATCTTAGTTACTATATGTCTTGTTACCGTTCAATCCAGGTAGAGGATGTATGAGCAATGTCACTCAGTCACCGAGTCCAGAATTATACAGCTACTGGATCCAATAAAGATTAGTTGGTAAATTTTTACTTTCGGACATGAGTCCCTAGGGGTTGACCAATATGTTTTTCCAGTGTATTTTGGTGTGTTTTAAGCGAATCTGACCTTCACTTTTTACGGAAATTGCTCGATTTTGTCACACCCCGATCCCCCCAACAATAAGGGGGGAGGGCCTAGGAAATCGGGGTTTTTGGGTGGGGGAGAACACGGAAAAGAGTCGTCTAACCTCACCTAACAACATAACGTGACGTAACCCCTAGCTTAAACTAACCTAACCAATCCATTTCCAACTAGTATAAATGGGGTTCAAAAGACTCAGAATATAGTCTGAGATAACATATTGGCGAATCCTCGTTTTCTTCCTATTTACGTACTTCCATGACCAAATACAGAATCACTGGTGCATGTTCTTTCTAAATTTACAAGGCAATATATAGTGCGGGCACTCAACAGATGTAGGGAGAACACCGTGATTACGTAGGAATTAGGAATTAGATAGCATGATCGTCTTTCTTGTAAAACTCGGCAATAAACAAAATAATCGTAGGAGCACGAATCATACCCAACCTCCACCACGCCCATTGTAAGACTGGTGATTGAAATTCAAATCCGTACCCAGGCTGCTTCCTTTGAAAAAATTCAAATGAGATTGGTCGAAAAAAATTTCCGTGATGAGATCGATACATCATTGGTCACGACTGGATGATGTCAGTCAATATTGCACATGCACGATGAAACACACTCATAATTAACTCGGTTTCACGCAGATAACATCTCTTCAGACTAAGACTGAAAAGTACGCAAAATCAATTAAATTCAATTGTGTCGCTATTTTCCATTTCCAAATGGTAAATATGGGGTTCAAAATTCTCAGAATAGGGAGATCTAAATGTTTCAGTACCGGTAGTTTATAACTTTGGTGTATGCTATGTCCGAAAGTAAAATATAACCGATTTGTTTTATGTCATAACGGGAATTTGATAATGGAAATAGGTTTTTCATAGTGATTGAATGAATATGACCTTTATTGACAGTGCGAATGCAAGGCGATTCAACAACCATGATTTTGCTCTTAGTGGGCAGGGTAAAATTGCAGTTTTGGCCAATATGCCCAAGTAGCTTATAAATTAGTTTGTCCTGTGTATTTTGGTGTGATTTAATCGAATTTGACCTTTATTTCCAGGGGTAAAGTACCCATTTTAGAGCTATCCCCCCAAAAAAATTTTTCTAAAAGCTTCAAAATTAATTTGAGACATTATTCTTTGCCCTCTGGTTGAAATGGGGTTAGAAATACTCCAAATAAGAAGATCTAAAGGTTGGGGATGGTTAAAATAAGTCGGCCGTGCATTGGCCTAAACTGAAAAAAAAAAAAAACTTTGAAAACCTGACCTAACCAAGGAAAGTCCTAATCTTATAAAAAAGGCATAGTTTGATATTTTGCCATGACCTGGTAAATTCCTATTAACACTATTTTACTGTGAGTGCACTTTGTTTGGCTAAGCACTTTCTGTTTAATATGAAGGGGGGGAGGGGTTCCACCCCCAGCTAGGAAGTTAGGTAAGGTTAGGTAGGTCTCTTTGTTTGGTTAGGTCAAGTTCTAGTAAATGTCGCCACTATCATAATGATAAGTTCCATGTACAACAGAAATATGGTTAGGTATGTTTATAGCTCAATACCTAAATTGCCAATTTGTATTTGTTCTGATGTCATTTGCTGTTTTTGCAATGTACTTACTTCCTTATCTATAACCTTTTGGTGTAAGCCTTCAAATTGCACTATTGATATCTGCACAGCAACGTTGGAGATAAACAGTGTCGGGGTGATGTTGATCGGTTGGTGGTATACGGGAAGGTCCCCTCCCCTATACTGTACTGCCAATACAAGTTCATATATGGCTTGAAGATAGCCAGTAAATTATGCTGTCTAACCTCGGTGATACCGGGATGTTTAAATAATGTGGACTATGAGATAATAGTGTCAGGTCCCTGTATATGTAACCATGTTTTAGGGCCACACGGGCACATTTGCATGTGTCTAGGGGGGCTCATGCACCTCAGGTCTGGACCCAGGGGAGTCCAGAGAGGCATGTGTCCCTTCTTGCTTCCCCCTCTAATCTTGTCAAGGCTTGTTGGTCCATATAAAATGTTGTAATCACTGACTGTGACTTAAATGGTTTAACATACTGTAGTGTATACCTGAGGTAGATTATCTGTACCTAGTACACAGATGACAGCAGCCCATCTAGGTATTATATCAGTCGCCAGGATAGACAAATGTAATTATGAAAACAATCATGATTATGATTATATTTTAAAAGTATTCAATTACACTTGCAATGCCAAATTAAAGGATATAATTGATTATGGTTACTGATTTTGATTACTGTACTGTACCTCATCATCCCCATGTCTGATATATAGATGGGTATGCTTGGAGAAAAAGGATGAAGTTGGACATGATTTTGTTTAAATTTGTCATTCTTGTGTAGACTGAGTTTATGCGTTCACACACACTGGCCTGGTGTACTTTCACATCAAGTGCTGGGCTCCTTGATTCACCTATGCTGACCTCACATTTCTCCAGCTACCATGTACAGAATCTTGGCTTAGATTACTTGTGTCGTCATATTACAGTATTCATTTTTGACCTTGTAAATAGGAAAGTTTCTTGTAATGATGTGAGGATTCCATTTCTGTCTGCTGTTGTTATTAGATCAAGTAAGAGTGGCACTATCGTACCTTATGTTCGGATGCACTTAACCAAGGTGGACTGGGTCACTCTTATACCAATCCCTCATGATGATTTATACCAGGACAATCCAGTACAGTACATATTATTTATAGTGTGGGGCTTCAATAAATCCACAGTGGAGTTGCAGGTGACCAACACCCTACACACAGTAGCTATTACTTTTGCAAAAGTGTGTGGAAGACCTACTACAGTACCACCACAGTCAGCTGATACTAAAATGAGTGGAAGTGTGTCTTGTTCAACATTTGTTTTTCTTTTGCTTTACTTGATAATTCATTATTTATGCTGTTCCACAATAAACAGTTAAAAAAATAATATATTGAAATTTCTACTCCAAGGAAGTGCTTTTTTGTTGTTCAGGAACATCAGCAATATGTAGGGCTGTCAATTATGAAAAATTGCCAATAAAATAAGAATCCACCCCAGAGGAATATCCTTGGTCCCATTTCTTTATGATATTAGGAATATTACTTTATTTTCATATAAAGTCTGTCAACAAGTACAGTACAAGCAAAGCATGCATAGTTCCTGAGTCAGTCAGCTTGGCTTCCTTCCCACATCACTAGCACTGTGTGTTGAGATGGGAGTGTTACTAAGCAAAACACATTCTGGGCCTGTCTGATCTATTAAAACTGCTCTTCAGAGTATATGGTATTCAGAGTTTGTACGGTATTACAAAGTATAGTACTGTACTGTATATGGTAATGAGAATGATACAAGATACAGTATTCAGTCTCATTGTTAAAGTTGAGCTTATATGGGGAGAGCAAGAGAGGGTGGATAGTATTATGCACGACTGTAAACCTTTTGTGATATTCTGTCATTAAAATTGGTACTACTGTATGTCTTTTCAGAGCGCAAATACACAGAGAAGCATGAGTGGGTTGCTGTTAATGGTAACATTGGCACCATTGGTATCACAAATTATGCTCAAGTAAGTTTCATCTTCTGTATGGTTTCTGTGTGTACAGTAGAAGCAAGTATGGACCTGTAGTTGATATTTTTTAATACTTTCATTGACAGTGATCAGTTTTTGTGACTTTTACAACATTTCAGGTTATGACCCTTTTGTTACCATGATGCTGAGGTTTGGTTTAATTAGGACTTCTTAACTCACTACTACAGGACCCCTGGGTCAAAACCTGGTCACCTCTTTTAGGCTCAATATAACAAAATTCAATGAGGCCAACAAATTTTCCACTTCCTGCTTCACTTTCATTAGTTCAGGAAATGCCAGTAAGGACAGCTGCATAGCTCGTCATTGGCTTCTCTCCAAGTTTACTGGCTGTCCAATGTCCATGAAGGGTCACTTGTATGCTGATATTATTGGGATTGGGAGCAGGTTATTGCTTGGGTATTACAGTAATATATTGTACACCCTGTCCTTTTCAAGGAGCCTTGGGTTGATCACTACACCTACTTGTACTTGGGTATCAAATAGCAAATTTTGGCTAAAGTATAAAGGATTGGTGAACTGGGATGAAAATGAGGGATGTACCGTAGTCAGGAGTGTCTGCAAGAATATTGATGAATGATGAAATGTGGACTTGTGCAATAGCACATAAGGTGGTTTGTCCCAGAATACTGTATTAGTGATGCACAGGATAGACCTGGTCGGTTAGTGGATATTTTCACTCCGGTATCCAGCCAGATGTGCTTACATTAAGTTTTAAGTGTGTGTGTGTGTGTGTTTTCTTTTAATATATATATATATATATATATATATATATATATATATATATATATATATATATATATATATATATATATATATATATATATATATATATATATATATATATATATATATATATATATTCTGTATGCAGTAATTAATTTCTTTGGAGAGTAATATAAAACAAATAATGAGTTGACACAACAACTGATTTCAATTTTGGGATCATATGTCTGTTAGTACAGTGTAAAAGCTTTGGCTTCAGCCCAAACAGACTTGGCCAATTCACACCTTGGCCATTCGTTGATTTCATTCATCCAAGATCACGATGGACATCCTCTTTGTTTACCTTCCACCTTTTCCAGCACAGTATGTTTCTCTATACTGTACATGTACTGTTCTTTCTCATCACATGACTGGAAAACTCATCTCTCTCGCTGTCATGCTCTTCCACACCATCAGTTCAGTGCCAGTCTTGTCCAAAACCCACTACTGTAGCTTGTTGTTGGGTCCATCCACAACACTCAGTCCTTGTTGTTGCCCATATCGTACAATCATATGATACAGTTGTAAAAGCAGTAGCCTAAACTACAGTATATGCATTTTCAAGCTTATGGTGAAGCCTCTACTATTCCAGATGAGAACCATTTGTAGGGCTTTACACTAGGTTTTGTTTTGTTTTCCCTACGGGGATTAGCCCACCCGGGTACAGGTCACTGACCCACATCGGGGCCTGGGGGATTTAATAATACTAATTATAATATAATAATAAAGAACCATAAAGAGATAAAAAAATGAAAAAAAGATCAAGAGTGAGAAACAATATATGTATGTTGTGTTTTCAAAGTAAGAGAAACAATTGAGACCTGCAATTGTGTGTAAATGAGGCAAAAAGGCAGGGACTTGGTCACAAATTTCGTGATTCCATATGGCAGCAGGGTCTACCATTAGACAATACATTATGCTTCCAATATCTTCCCAGGCGGTAGTACCTCCCTGTTTGGTAGCTGCATACTACATACATATAAGTTAGCATATAAGCATTCTTACTTGTTTGGCTGTAAGATAGTGGTGTACTTTATTTTTGGCTATAAGATAGTACAGTAGTGTAGTTTATGTTTGGCTGTAAGATAGAGGTGTAGTTTATGTTTAGCTGTAAGATAGTGGGAGGGAATATTTCGTACGTATGAGTGATTCAGTGGGTGCCCGCCAACACCTTCTATGGCACTGTAACAGTTCTCACAGTGAAAGTATAACTGTAATGTTGGCTTTGCTTGTTAACACTTAAGCTCAAGACTATTAATTATGTTGACTTGTGCTGATGATGGGTGTACGGTGTTTATTTTATTCACCGTTGCTCTTCTTTCTCTTTAATTTCAGGAGTCGCTAGGAGATATTGTGTATGCCCAGATGCCAGAGGTGGACACTGAATATGAACAAATGGGTAAGTCAACTCGCCTGTAAATAAAGATTGCCAATTTTATTTTGAGGTGTTCCATTCCTAAAATTATGATATTTAATTAAATGAACAACTACCGTATGTAACTGGAGATTCTTTGGTATAATTCCACGTAATAATCTTAATTTTTAAGTAAAACCTTGTAGCAACTTGCCGTGCGGAGTCCTGAAGCTCCTATGGGTATTCAGGTAGTGGTTTTGTATGAATTTAACATGAAATAGGCTTATTGTCTGGGGTAAATCATGGATTTCTACCAGTAATTCATTTAACTTATGATTCACATTTATAAAAGTATAAATACTGGTGAGGGTTTATTATTGTTATAAGTAATTGGTCTGATGAACAAGAGTGGCCATCAGATAGTTTCACAGGGTTGAGACAAGTTCACTATTCTCGTCATTTACTTTAAATCTAGTAAATTACTGTAGTTTATATAGATAAACTAATAATCGATTACCATTGTATTTTAACAATTAATTTGAAGTAACAACGAGTTAAACAAGTACTGTATACATTATAACACTGAGTTAAACGACTATATGTACATTAAACTCATAAGTTAGTCATGTGTGACGTGTCACATGAGGATTGGTTCCCATGCTTTGTGTGGTTATGCTGTTTGCTGGAAGTTCTGTGCGAATTATTTTGTTGTCTGATTAGAGAAAATATTTTATGATACTGTATATGGTAATAAGAAATCAGGGTAGAAGAGTTGATTAAGATGTAAATGGAAATTAATTGTTTGACAGCCAACTGTAAATTTGTATTGACAATAATTAGAATCCAGTATTTTTTATTTTATTTTTTAACAGAGGAGTGTGGAGCTCTTGAGAGTGTAAAGGCAGCCAGTGAACTTTACTCTCCTGTGTCTGGCAAAGTGACTGAAATCAACACTGCTGTTGAGGACCAACCATCACTCATCAACCAGAGCTGTTATGATGAAGGTATATTTCATAAGTGTCAGTGGTACAGTATTAGGTGGTTCTTCTTGTTTCGATAATGGTGTATCTTTTGTCTGACAATGTCCTGTACATACAGTATTTTAAAGAGCTACTGATTTTCCTTTTTATTAGATGCCAAATAATGACTTAAATCAGAGAAGAATTAAAATGAACTAAACCAGGGCTCCCTAGTTGGAGGGAAAGTGGGTGAAAAAATGGCAGCTGAAAGATAATATGACCCGAGTTAATCCCTTTTTGGAGATGGACTTTTCCAATTCTAGAATTTAGGTGTTGGCATGCAGATCAAAAGGGAATCAAATTCTGTGGTAGATTTTAACTGGCATACTGCTCAGCTGTCGCAATAGTAAGTCTTGTTCTTGATGCATACGTACTTAAAAAGAATTCCAGACCTGTCTTCTGTGGACTTGGTGTTTTGAATGAATACTGTTATTCAAGTGTGCCTCATTTTGTTGTAATTGTTATAGAAGAGTTATATAGTGCTTTAGTATATCACTCCTAGTGGGCCATAAGACCTATAAGATCTACACAAACTAATACAGATGGGTTCCTCCTCCTGATTACCTTTGTCTGAAACCTTTAGTTATTTCTTTACCACTTTTGATCCAGTAATTGAGTTGAAAAATCACTGTCCTAATCCTCAGTTTAGTTTCAGGTTTGGTTCTTATAGAAGACTGAGAGAAGCTGGTCTCCTTCATTCTCTCCACATTGCCAAACCATTTCTGTCCACTTCTATGCCAAATGCCAATATTCACAATACCCAGTAGCCTTCTTAGCTCTGAACATCTACCCTCTCCCTTGCAATCCAGGCTAAGTTGTGACCTATGTTATGGTTAATTTTCAACTCATAATTTTGGGTAGATGTACATACTTTCTTTTTTTTTTACATGCACACAAACATTTGTATACACACTGTGCCAAAAATATGTGTCAAAAACAAAAGGGAATGAACTCTTTTTGTGTGTTAAAGAGTTCACACTGAGAGGGGAGGAGTGCGGTGTATCTGCTGTTCTGAGCTGTCTCCTGTGTGTAGTGAAACTATTGGCAAATTTTTTCGTCCAGTAGTCATATGGCAATACAGTGGTCCCTCGATTAATGAACGATTCAATTAATGAAATTTCGGTTAACGAATTAGCTCCCATAAGGATTTTCAGTTCCATTAACGAACAAAACTTTGACTAACGACAGCCTTACGAGAAACACGCTTTGTTGTGTGCATCAGCTGATCGGCTAGTCCACCAATACAGTAGATAATTGATTCTAGGTTTACATTCGTTTCCAGTGGGGTAAATGTCAAGAAAGTTGTGCTCTTGAATATTTTTGCATTTTTTATATTAAAATTATTGGTCATGCTGAAATTTAGTTAACATATTGATAATGTATACAGTACAGGGAAAAGTTTTTGTGTGCCCTTCAGCTGATCGAATCACCCACCAACGCTTCTCAGTTTAACTTTGTTTACAGTGGAGTGAACATTGAATTTGTTGGTCTCATGAATATTTTTGCATTTTTACATTAAAATAATTGGTCCTTCTGAAATTTAGTTAACGTATTGATAATATACAGTGCAGAACTTATTATGAAACATGAAGAAGGCATTAGAACCAATGCACTCTGTAAAGAATATGGCATGTCATCATCGACTGTCTTTACAATCAGCTGTTTGATATGTAAACAAAGCTGCCGGAAATACGACATACACACCCCAAAGTAAGTTAAATACAGTATTCTATTGTTTTTTATTTATTATTGTACAGTATACTGTACAGTGCAGTACTTTATTTAGTTTAAATTTAATGTTTTGTTAATTCTATTACTGGTATACAGTACAGTACTTTGAATGTTAACTTTTTCTGTGAGTTGGAACCAATTACCCAATATCCCATTGAAATAATAGATTCAGTTAACAACAAACTCTGTGGAACCAATTGTGTTCGTTAATTCAGGGACCACTGTATACAATATTTTTCTACTTTATTTTATTTATTGGTATTTTATCTGTTCCTTACATAAAACTTACTGGTACAGGGTAGATAATATTTCATCTTATTCCTCATAGGAGTTGGTAACTGGTGGGAATTTAGTTCAGAGTTGGTAACACTGTTCATATTAGCTGTTGTGGTGGTGGTCAGGGCGAAGACGTGTTGGTGTGAACCTGTTGTCTAACTACAAATTATGTCTAGGATTATACCTAGTACCTGTATTTCTCAAAAACTTTGGTCTAAAATTATGCAAGTGGTACAGTATTGTATATGAAAAACTCAAGTCTTTTTATACATGAGTATACAGTACTGTATATTGTAGATTGAATAAATATTTAAAAAATCGAGTAAATGAAAGAAAAATGATGAAAGTACACTGAGAAGTCATCCAAATAGTAAATTTTAGAGAATTGTATTTTACCACTTATGCAATGATAAGGTGTTATATAATATAATTAAGTTGTTAATTTTATTATTAATTTTTGACAGGTTGGTTATTCAAGCTGGAGTTGACAGTTCCAGCAGAAGTAGATGAATTAATGGATGAAGCAGCATACGAGGCATTTTTGAAGGCAGGCGAAGAGGAATAGCACCAGTGAGAATGAACATTGCATCAAGAGGCGCAGCACTTGACCCAACCTACCCGTTTCAAGCTATCTGTTGTGCAGGTGCCTGAATATGCTCCAGTACTGGTGGATAGCATACTCTGGGTCTCCTAACTCTTAACATGAACTCATCCTCATCATCTAGCTAACTGAAATATCCTGTATTATTTAACCTTTTGATTTGTAACCAGCCCACACTAGTGACAGAGAAAAATATACAGGAAATTTGTGTGTTGCATGGGGAGCGTCCAGCAGCTGTGCACATGACCACAGATTGTATAACATCCAGCTACACAGTTGAGTCATGACTTGGTACAGTTTGAAGTTAAGTGAACAATCTTAGACTCCTCCCCAAGCTTGAAGTGGGATTTTGTGCCAGTGCAGCATTACATTCTTATAGCTCATATAGATATTTAATTTTTTTTAATGGTTTCATCCACTAACATACTGTCTTTTGATGATCCATTTTGTTGAAAAAAAAATTAATACAAATAGATTTTTAATAATTATAACTACTTTTTCACCATTGAGAGTTTTGTAAAAGTAATTTTTAAATAAGATTTACATATTGAAAATGTGGTGGTGTATTTTTTCCAGCTCTTCTTTTTGTCACAAAAAATGGAGATGTTATTTATTCTCATATTAGAGTGACATGCTAAGAGCTGATGATGTCCATTGGCTGTGTATTATTTTTATAAATAATATGATGAAGGAAGGGTGGTTACATATGATAGGACAATCTAAACTGTAAATAATAGCACTGTATTAGAAATGTTGTAGCCTCTTGACATTGGGTTGATGGAGGATATTCTGGTAGCATCACAAGACATACCATATCCCTTTTATTTATGACCCTGAATTTCATTTCAGATGTTACAGAAAAATATAAGAAGTCCTGGTTCCATTACTTTATAGAGATATAGTAAAAGTATTGCATAGTATAAGTGGTATTACTACATCATGACTGATTGCTAACTCTTGGATATACAGTACAGTAGTGAGGAACCAGCAGCTAAGCAATACAAAGCCACATATGTGGTTCTGAAAGTCTGGAGTGTATACAGACTGGACATGAAAGAATGTGAAGACGACCATTGATATAATTTCACTGTAAGGATTGATAAGATTTTTGTCAGCCTGTAGCTTATCTTGAATATTCTTCATGTGGATACACCTTATTTTAGTCATTACCTCCTGTTTGTTAAAGTTGTTCCATTTAGCATTATTGCATCAACTAAAACTTATCCAAAGTGTCCGGTGACTTTACTATCGAGTTCATTAGTTAATTTTCAAGGCATAACTGGAGGATTGAGGTCTTATGTTCCCTGAATTTGTGTATTGCCCTTCCACACCATTGCTGATGGATATACCGTCATATTTAAAGCTTCTGTTTTTCTCATAGTGCTGGTACATTTGTTATGTGTTGGTTATGACCTTTAATGTAAATAATGTAGGGGTACTTAATTATGGGAAACTGTATTCTTAGTAGGGGTCTATCATTATGCACCTACTATAATTTTTTTTTTTTAATCAATTTACTTAACCCTCTTGCACATCATGACACGAATCACGTGAAATCATGGGGTAGCACTATTTGCAACTATGACATGAATCATGCCATTGAACTTAAAAAAATATATACCTCAAAAGTTCTCAAGATAATTGCATCCAATTTTTGTGTGTCATAGATGATCTTCCAAGGGAAGCTTCCAGAAAGTACTAAAGTGTAGGTTGAGTTCCGCTGTCCGTCAATTTCCTCCCATCAGCCATGCTGGTAGGTTGTGTTTGTCCCACTATCTTGTCTCCCACCCTTCCCATTATTAGTCATCTACAAGTTCCAAAGCCATCATTGGAAACTCAAAAAATTCTGCTTCTATGTATAACTATGATACACTTGTGGGTTTGTGAGAAAATATCAAAGATATGCTGGGAACACAAATGCACTAATTTGTTTTCTTTATTCAGAATGAAAAATAGTCTTAAGTTCGTCCTTTTATTCTTGCTTATGTTAAAGACAAAACAATAACAAAATCAGTGGTGTATAAATCATGCAGAAAAAACAAACAAAATCTTATGGTATAAGTTGGCCTCAAAATGAAGATGACCGGACCCCCATGAGTGGTCCCAATGACTTTTGTCGTGGTCACAGAACTTATTGTGAGTGCGAGAGGATTAAAGGGAATTTTAAAAAGGGCATTCACTAATTTGATGTGCGATACCCTAGCTAGTGGTGTACGGTGGCCTTGCTGGTGAAATCAAATAACAATGCAGTATTTTAGTGCTGCTTATCACAGCAGGAACTAAGGAAGGATGGGATGTGGAGGCAATACTGTATCCCACACCTGTGTCTACAACATTGCAGTGTCATATAAATACTTAAGTTTCTTATGTTTTCTGTTCCTTATTTTACCAATGGTCACTCCGGTACATCATAGCCGTCCTGTAACAGCCAAAAATTTGAAATTATTGGTTCCACAACAAAGTAGCAGTGATAAAAGATTATTCTACACTTTATCACTTCTAAAAGTTGATTCCAGTTCATATTGGCATGGAACACCTTGCTGTTGTTAATTGATTCATATGCCATTGTAGCCAGTCTTGCCTTATTACAAGACTAACCCTGTAATTACTAAGCTCAGTCACAAAAAGAGATTATGCTAGTACCGTACTATATATTGATTGGTAACAAGATATTGTTTTATAGAGGTTGTCAGTGATGGTGTTTTAAATTTTATGGTTGTTATAGTGGAATAAACGTACAAGATATATGTTGTTTAGTCATTCCTCAAACTCATTTGTTGATGTATATATAACAGTGAGGTTATGGAGTTGCTGTACAGTATGTGCTACAGCTATGGTGACCTTTTGTATTTTATTTTGACATACGAGAGCTTCCAATAAAACATGAAGAGAAACTCCTGAAAATAATTCATTGAACGGTATTAACTAAAATTATTCATATTACTGCCAATGCTGAGTGTAATTTACAATACTGCACAGCCAGACATGGGTGTAGATCATGTGACAGGGAGATACAACCCCCACCTTTCAATTGGGATAGAGGAGACATTACTGTGACCGAGGAGGGTGAAGGCGAGTGGGTGTCGACGTTCCTGACTATGGTGCCTTTGCCCAAGAAATAGCAGCTAGTGTCATTAGGTCTTATGAAGGACAGGAGAGGAAGCACAACAGAGGAAGTTCTCGCCACCAGACTCGGAGAGGCGAGGACATACCTGGACAGCCATCACTGATATCCTCTGCTTCCTCCCTTCTACAAGAACCTTTGCGAGATCACGACAGTTGCGAAAGATGAACTGCAGAAGAGGCCTAAAAATAAAACAATGTAAGATTGGGAATTATTTCCCCAAGGTCCCTGCTCCAGTCACAGGTATCCTCATGCTGTCTCCTAAGACAGCTTGCCTAGTACCAGTGGTGACAGTATTTCTGGTCCCAGCCCACAATGTCGGAGATTGCACACTACCAGCTTCACCACCACCACCTGCCTCGTCAACATCCTGTCCATCACCATGACCTAGCAAATTCTTCGTATGACTCCTTAGGATCCTCTCTCCTTCATGGAAGGAGAGAACAGTGCCAGCACCAGCTGTCATAAGATGGTACAGATCAAAGGCAGGCCATCCTGTATCATCACATCACCATTTAGCCTGCCTGTATCACGAACTCAAGACAACAGCATGATAAGATTTTTATAAATATCCAGATGGGGAAAATTGGACTGGAACCATTAATGTGTACCCTTTGGCGCTAGGTGTGGAGGTGACCCGAAGTGGTCTGAAAGGAATGTAGAATTTAACATTATAGCTATCTGTGTTATTATTGATACTGCTTTAGATTTAATCCTTACCTGATGGTGTAAAGTGTACTGTAAATGATATCACTTGTTAAAAATTCATGCCATGCTGTAAGAACAAGAACTACATTTTGAGGGTGCACAAATTACAAATATAATTAGTTGTTTAATGTTTTTTTGTGTCAATTATTATTACACATTTGATTTTAAAACACTAATGATGAGTAATACTACATACAGTATATACAAAAGATGTCATCAATAAAATCGTCGATTTCTAACGCGATGACCTGCCTTTGTAGTGGATTCCCTCCCCTACAACCGTCGTGTGTCGCTGACCAGCTGACCCTCTTCGAATTCCCCAGCGTACACCTCGTGCTCTAGGTCGGCAACCAGCGCCGCCTAACATAGCGGAGGTCAACTATCAAGCCACGCCTACCCCCGCTATAAAAGACCTCACGTGGCCATGACCTATCTCTTTCTTCTACCTACAGCCACCAGCAAGCAACACCTCCGCTGCTCCTGCCTGGTGGCCCTCACTCCCGCCGGCGACCATGGCGACGCACAAGCTGCTGTTCTCCTCAAAGCGCCCTCACAAACCAGCTCTCTCTAAATCACGCTTGGACTCATGCTGCCACCCCCCAGCACCAAGCTGCATTGTACATCCAATACATTATGTATACAGAGAGCACATTGTGAGTTTCCTTTCTCCAACCCATCCTGAGTGTGAACCAGTATCTCATAACCCCACAATATATCCTTGGATATTGATGCCATCACTGACAATCTGCAAGACAAAATCTAAGGAGAATGGAGCTGCTAAAGATCTTTAAATAATATTAAATGAGACCTAAAATATAATTTGAGTATGTGCCAAATACAAGCTGAATGTACTAGATACTGTACATGCTGAATAAGTGTCAAATGCGAGCTGAATATTAACTAGTTATCAACTGAATATGTGCTATAGATACAATAATAGGATTGTTATGTGTGAGACTGACATCACGATATATTTTCAGTCAACAAAGAATCAAGACAGTTATATTATAATGAATAATCTGAGATTTGTTCCTGGTATGTGTTTGTGTATCATTTCCCTTTAGTTACATATTTCTCGTTAATAACAGGGCTGCAGTTGTTTCAAAACTTAGTAAATAAACAAAATAACATTGCTATAATTTTTTTCACGACTTAATGGTACTGATCGAACAAGCCTGATTCGTAGAGCCAAAACTTATGTGGCCCACTGAGATGATGGATGGTCACTTATGTGGCCCACTAAGATGATGGATGGTCACTAATGTGACCCACTGAGATGATGGATGGTCACTTATGTGGCCCACTGAGATGATGGATGGTCACTTATGTGGCCCACTGAGATGATGGATGGTCACTTATGTGGCCCACTGAGATGATGGATGGTCACTTATGTGGCCCACTGAGATGATGGATAGTCACTTATGTGGCCCACTGAGATGATGGATGGTCACTAATGTGACCCACTGAGATGATGGATGGTCACTTATGTGGCCCACTGAGATGATAGATGGTCACTTATGTGGCCCACTGAGATGATGGATGGTCACTTATGTGGCCCACTGAGATGATGGAGGGTCACTTTTGTGGCCCACTGAGATGATTGTCACTTACGCGGCCCGCTAGCTGGGTTGCCCCCCAACTGCCCTACATAATGTGGAAACTTGCTTGGTAACGTTCCTCTATACAGTACATTCGCGATATGGAAGCATAATAACCACATATTATTTTCTATTGTATTAGCCTTATAATCTCTTGCTCTCACGAAAGTGATTTGTGTATAAAGTCACCAGGCATGATCAGTTCCACTTGTTTGGAAACTCCCGGCAACTATACTAGGCGCTATGTTGCTTAACTCGTGCTGTAAGAAGCTACAGCTATAGGTTGAAAATAGAAAAATTAACTTGAAGACTTGCAGAGTTAGTTCCAGCGGTTTGTTCAGACTGCCTTGTACAAGAACTTTTTGAGGGAGGTTCACTGCTGCTGTTGATAATTAAGATCACAAGATCCCTATTAGCTCCGACACCTGATTTAAGATATCTTAGAATTTATGAATCAGTTCATGAACCGCGACGGTCAGTTTCGTTGCTGCTGTTGTCGTGTTGTTGGCAGGTACTGGGCATGCACCGGCTCCTGAATATATCTGAACCTGCTCCAGTGTTGGTCAAGTCTGGTCTTGAAAGCGGTCACTCGGTGCCGTCACAACACACTCTGGCAGGTTGTTCCAAGAGTTAATTCTCACTCCGAAAAAAATTCTCCCTCACAGTTTTCTGGACTTGCGGCTTCTTCAACCTTGAGCTGTGAGCCTATGACCCCCTTGTGGGGCGAGCGTCCGCCAGTTCCAAGTATGGACACTCGACTGAGTAGTGCTTGAGATGTTTTTACAACTCAATTAGGTCACAATGTCACAGTGGGGTGTTAAAAATGTCAACTGTCATCGTTAGTGAGGGAATATAAAATCAAGAGGTAAGTAGTGGTCAACAAAGGTTGTATTTGTTGAGGTTATGTGGTAAATTTGAGGCTGTAGTTGTTGTGGGCTGGGGCTGACTTGTCACTCAACCCATACACAACCAACTGCTAAAAATATAACATTACCTTATCCCCTAAAAACTCTTACCCATCGCTCCATGAAAAAACTCAAATAACATTTCGCAAGGCTTTACTTGGCGGAATATATTGACATATTGTTATAGTTAAGTAGGAAATAAGTAACATTACTGCCAGTGTGTTTTCAATATGGCGTCTAGGTCTACCTGCTGTCATTCAAAACATAAGGGCTGTAGATGTTTCTTTATAACAGGTTATATATATATATATATATATATATATATATATATATATATATATATATATATATATATATATATATATATATATATATATATATATATACTATAACCACAAGGAAAGAAGAAAACACGAAGTTCCCAAGCGCTTTCGTGTAATTCACATCTTCAGGGTGAGGATGTGAATTACACGAAAACGCTGGGAACTGTGTTTTCTTTTTCCTTGTGGTTATCAGCATATACCTAGATCACGCGCACCTACAGTGATTTACTTGCATATATATATATATATATATATATATATATATATATATATATATATATATATATATATATATATATATATATATATATATATATATATATATATATATATGCGTGTGATTAATTGTTTTAGAAATGGCACATCAAGTTAGTGTTTGAATCATTTTAACTTTTGTGAATGCTAAAATCTGGCCCAGAAACCTTGAGAGCCACGGGTGTTGTTATCTACGTGTGTGTGTGTGATAAACTATTTATATTCATAATTTTTGTATTATATAAATTAAAAAATCTCCAACTCTACAAATCCACAAATCCGCATCTACCTACAGTATATGTAGATGTGTACATTTTGTGGATGCTATGCAGATGCGCCATCCATCGCTATTTGGCATCTCTTGTTTTAGAAAATAATGTCTAGAAAAATATTCCTAATTAAATTAATAAGAATCGCAGCACCGGAAAATTTCCATTGTAGGTTTGTTAGTGAAATACGCTTTGGGGTTCTATCCATTATGATTTCTTGCACTTCGCTGTGTCAAGTTAATTGTATCAAGGAGCTGTACTCATGATCCTTGTTGAGGGATAGAAGTATCCACCAACTATTGTGTAATGTTTATAGATTTTCTGTTTATATAAAGTTATGCATGATTAGAGTAATGAAAGCAGAGCTGTGACCTCATTCATAAATGTTGTTTCAGGCAGGATGGTCCCTGGCCCGAGACATGACAGGTGATGCCAAGGCTTCTACCACCAAGGCAAGGTGAGCACTAAATCTGCAGCTCTTATTATATAACACACTGGACAAGTTCTCATTTCATTGTTGGTGTTAGTTCCTGTTAGGTGAAGAGTACAACTGTTGGGTAAGATTAAGGAGAGGGCTGAAATGTACTGGGGATTGAGACCGATATATTTAAAAAAAATAAAGTAAATAGTGTTGTTACCTATCTTAAACTTTGATGATCCCCGTTTGCAGTTACCAGCTTGTTTATTGAATACTTTAGTTTTCTCAGAAGAGATAATGAGTCTAAGGTTCTCACAGGCTGACTGCAGGTGGTTCAGGGTGGTCTGCATTTCACGATGAGTTCAACTATGTGTAACAATGTCATCTGCATAGCTACGTGATATTGCTGGGACTGTCCGGGATTGATTTTAATAGAACATTCATAAGAACATTGGAAAAATGGAACAAAGTACAGGTCAGTAACATTCGGGCGCTACAGGTCAGTAACACTCGGGTGCTACAGGTCAGTAACACTCGGGCACTACAGGTCAGTAACACTCGGGCACTACAGGTCAGTAACACTTGGGCGCTACAGGTCAGTAACACTTGGGCGCTACAGGTCAGTAACACTTGGGCGCTACAGGTCAGTAACACTTGGGCGCTACAGGTCAGTAACACTCGGGAGCTACAGGTCAGTAACACTCGGGTGCTACAGGTCAGTAACACTCGGGAGCTACAGTCAGTAACACTCGGGTGCTACAGGTCAGTAACACTCGGGAGCTACAGGTCAGTAACACTCGGGAGCTACGTTATCAACATCTCCATGGGAAGCCAGACCAGGTGTGGAGGAAATGGTGTTACAACCGCCCGCTTCTGAGGGAATATCCCCAGGAAGCCCATGTTTTGTTACCAGGAGTCGTGTAATCTTGTTGTTGAGGTGAACTATGACGCATGCGACTGGCTGATAATGTAGGCTGAGCGGAAGCTAGGCTTGGAGACGAAAGGAAAGTTTTCTCTACTTCCAGGCGTCATGGTAAAGTCCAGAGCGTGTGGGAAGTATGAAGTCCTGTAGGCGCGGTTAGAATAATTAATAAATGTCCCGTGAACTTACCGAGTGTCAGTAATCAAGAATAAAGACATTTTAATCGTATTACTAATATTTCTTGCAATCGAAAGAGAGAATTTGAGGAAATACGGCCAGTGTATTGCGTGCATAAATATACACCAAGCAAATTTACTACAGTATAGCAGAGGCTCGATAATTGTGTAAATCCAAGTACAGTATAAACTTATACCCGGGTCATTTATTTTATGGTTTGACATTTTAGTGATATGTTGTGTATCAGTCTATAATATTAACAAGAAATTTTGTCTCAGTAATCAGGGTGTTTATATACATCAATACAATATTCTTAGGATTTTAATGAACTGTTGTCTTGCATTATTATTATGTCATTATTAAGGCGAGAAAATCGGAATTAGTGATATAAGCCGTATACGAATTTTAAAATGTTGTTATAGGCCGTATATGAGTTTACCACTAATATACTGTACTGTCATAAACTACATATGACAGCCTTCGTCAATAACGTACTACATTAATCTATATATAATATATATCAACATATTTCTTTTTACACCAATTATGACAGTGTGGTGGGACGGTGATAGGAAGATATCACACGTGTTTGGTTCAAGATATTTTTTTATCAAGGAGGAAATACTTATTTAACTGATATCTGGTGTGAGTCAGAACCACCATATCCCCACCAGAGTGAGTCATGCAGTATAACCATATCATATGAGTCAGTCCAGTAGTTGTATCACCACCAGCTGTCACAAAAAAAAAACTGACTGATCAAACAGGAAGACACCCATCCTGACTCATCATGTCCGTGAGAGGTGACGTCAACCCACCTAAAGGACATTCTGGGGAAACTCGAGTAATCATGGTGTAAGGCCATCCTGTGTATAAGGCATATTGTCGAGGTATAATTACCTACTCTCTTCTGTAGCACTCCCATTTCACCATAAAGTTAAAAATGAAATGTCTTTGCCCAAATGTTATTGTTTGAAGACGTATATTACAGTCTTTATATGGATGTTCACTATTCATGATTATACTTTTGAAGGTGAGAGAGCTATAAGTCAACACAGAGTTGTACTGTACATGCACTCCACAAGTGTCCAAAAGGTAAATTTTCACAAGAGTTGGCCTTGGTGTTCGCCCCCCACACCCCATTTATATTTTCTGTTTCCTTTTCTATCAATGATCATACAAATTGAGAGCGACCTGTGTAATGGTCAGCATGCTCGCCTCGCAAGCGAGCGAACCCGGTTCGAGCCCCGGGTAGGGTGAAACTAAGATCAAGTTTCTTTACGCCATTTGCCTCTGTCTACCCGGCAGTAATTGGGAACCTGGATTTTAATCGATTTGCGGATCGTATTCCGGGGTAATGGTTAGCCAGTACAGTTGGCGAGTTGTCCGGTCTTCTCGGACTATTCCTTGACACTGGGTCATGCAACTCGTTGACTTAGGGTGTGGTTGTTGTGTTGGCGACAGCTTCTCCACCTTAAACAAATTCACGCCTAGGTGGCCCTTGGGCCGGCCATCCTCGTTACACGAGGGGCAACTATTATTATTAATATTATTATTATTATTATATTGAGAGTTGAAAATTGGTAAGGTTGATTTTTTGCATTCACTTAATTTAGGTGTCACCCCCTTTTCAATATAATGAGCTGAATTTTGGTCTGGTTATGCAATGGAAGGTTTAATTTGGAGGTTGACAAAACATTAGAAAACAAACGCACACACACACACACGCGGCTCATGATTACAAGATGTTGTAACCGCTAGATTAAGGTTGGGATAAAGTACCTCTGGCAGTATGCTCCTCAAGCAGATGTAAACATGACTAAATGTAAAGTGTGTGGCCAGACATATGGCCACACACTTGAACACTACGTCCTCGACTGTGTGAAGATAGAACCTTTTAGGGACAGGTCCAAGCACACTGTGTGTGAAATGGCACAACACTTCATCTCTAATGGCAAGATAGCCAACATATTAAGATTGTATCCACTTTTTTGCACGTAGTAACTACAGTATATCAGTTCCCATGTATAGAACCAAGCATACTTTGTCCTTGAATACTTCTCAGGCAAATGTGAAAAACAAAGTGTGCGGCCAGACATTTTGCCTCATACTCCTGTACTCACGCAGTTGTGAATAAGTTACCCTTTATGTATAGAAGTAAACAAATTATGTAATTGAAATACTGTGTAACATTCAGTGCCATAATATCCTATCCACGAGGGTTAATTATTATGACCCTTTGTAAACCATACTCTGTAATCCTTTTGCGCTACCGCTCACAGGATGAGTATGGGGTGCACAATAAACTAACCGCTGTAAGTGGCAAAATCAAAATCATCATGACAACTCCTGGGTGAGCCGTGAAATGTTGTTTTTGGGTATTGTGGCAGCCAGCATCCAGTCTGCTTTAAACTACTACATCAAAAAGAAATAATCCTGAGTAACAACAAGTACCCCAGTTTGTTTAAAAAATCGTAACACCGCTCCTGTTAACATCTTGCAACAGACAGTCAACTCTAGGCTGTGAGTTGTGACCGAATAAGTTCACGGAAACACCATATTTTTATTTTACCTCTCATTACGCTTGTTCTATTGCTTACAATGAGTACAAGATTTTTCAATAAGGAACCATCATCAAAACCATAATCATTACAAGTATTCGAAGGTTTGTCCGTAGTTGTTGTGTAAAGTTGGTTTACTGTTTCGAACTTTCACACACCAAATAGATAATTGAGAGATGGCTAGTTGCCCAGTGTTGTTGATTCGTCTATTAGTATAGACACTTAAGTACCAATCTGTTGTTGCTGATAACTGTACATACTTTAGCGCATTGGTGCAACGTAGTTTATAATGAGGTGTGACCTTATCGTCAAGATGTTGTTAATAGAGGATATTCCTTCACCGAACTCAATAATAAGTCAAGTTCCCCATTGATAAAATATATATATATATATATATATATATATATATATATATATATATATATATATATATATATATATATATATATATATATATATATATATATCAAGACATCTTCAGTTGCCTCTGAAGATGTCTTGAATAAAGACGAAAGCTAAGGTGCTCCGTTGTTTCCCTTTTCCCGTGTGCTTTTTATCAAGATTTATCCTATCCACGTTTTCATATATATATATATATATATATATATATATATATATATATATATATATATATATATATATATATATATATATATATATATATATATATATATATATATATGAACACAGTAACTACCTATAATTAAATGTCTTACTGTACACTTCAGTCCAGCAAGGATAATTACACCTACTGGTATTAACACAGTACATATGGAATGTTGCAACAAAGTTTTCTTAAGATCAATAAATCATGTCTCGGGGCAGTAAGGTCATGCTATTTAGTATTTGTACATTTATTGTTTCCTTTACACTTACACATTTTATTCATCTAGATTCTAGAATACCATTTCACTCTTGACTATTATAACACCTGCATTAACATTATAATACCCAAATACAGATTTGTACATAATACAAGGAATTCAAGCGAGAAACATCATAAAGATATATATATATATATATATATATATATATATATATATATATATATATATATATATATATATATATATATATATGCAAATAAATCACTGTAGGTGCGCGTGATCCAGGTATATGCTGATAACCACAAGGAAAAAGAAAACACGAAGTTCCCAAGCGCTTTCGTGTAATTCATATCTTCAGGGGTGAGTACAGACTAAAATAGAAGTGCAGAACAAGTTATATCTCCCTCCTCTGTATATATATATATAACTTGTTCTGCACTTCTATTTTAGTCTGTACTCACCCCTGAAGATATGAATTACACGAAAGCGCTTGGGAACTTCGTGTTTTCTTTTTCCTTGTGGTTATCAGCATATATATATATATATATATATATATATATATATATATATATATATATATATATATATATATATATATATATATATATATATATATATATATTTATTTATTTATTTATTTATTTATTTATTTTTTATAAATATTACAGAATGGACAACATTTAGAATGAGCGTCACATGAGCTGGAGATTGTGATCCTCGAGTTATTTACACTCCTTTAGACAAGCGTTCATGGGAGGAGAAAATGTTGATAAGTCTGGAGACATGGGTACTTCGAGAGTTAATAATGTCAACAATGTCGGGCTTGAGAGCTGCGCTGCCCACCAGGAATCCGTCAAGGTCTTTCAACTTGGCGAGCTCCTGACAGTTGCCCGAGGAAACTGAACCAGCGTAGATGATACGAGTAGCGTTAGCCACCTCCTGAGAGACGTTGTGACGCAGCCAGTAACGCAGCTTGGCCAGCACCTCCTGAACTTGAGCTGGAGTGGCCAGTATGCCCGTGCCACTGGCCCACAGAGCCTCGAAGGCCACCACCACGCGGGACCAGTCACTGATGCTGGCCGCCAGGGTCTCCATCTGCCTGAACAACACCTCTTCTGTGCGGTTACTGTCTCGGTCCTCCTTCCTCTCACATACGCACGCCACCACCTGCAACAACAATGATAACATAACTACCATTCTCAGCATACAACACACTTGTTTCTGCTGAATGCTAATAGGTCATATAATTTTAATATAATTTTCATTAATAGGAAATAATTGAATTATATTGTAATAGTTAAAGTAAGTGTAGTAAGTCTGACCTTCATGCCTGCCTGCTGGGCGTGTGCGACCTTCTCGCTGATGAGCTCGTCTGGCTCATTAAATATTGTCCTACGCTCAGGGTGACCCAGGATGACCCACTCACACCCACAGTCCTGGATCATGGCTGGCGAGATCTCCCCACTGAAGTTACCACTTGGAACCTGATGATCAAGCAGAGATGAAACTTTATAGTTCGACAATAACAATACCAATTATAAAAATTTTCTTAAAACTTGTATATAAAGATGGCGCTACTTATATCTCTCATATGAATGAATAAATTACCTTATTACAGTAACAATATAAAAATATGTGGTCGTACCTTGTAGCAGTTTTGTGCGGCCACCCCAATCTCAGATGGGAGGTGGTGGCGGGCGTAGGACAAATAGCAGGAAGGACACCCAACTACTGCCTCTATAGAGTAGAAATACAACAGTTGATGCTTGATCCTTATGATACAAGAGCAGATACCGATAAATAATTATATTTACATCAATATGTAGATGAAACAAAATTAATAAAACTGCAGAAGAAAGCAATTTTTTGTACCTTAATTTTCTTCTGTTTCATCTTATTGCATTTTCAACACCTGCAGGAGACTTACCTGTATTAGGGTCAAGCGAGGCGGCCGTCATAAACTTGACGATGTTATCAATGCGGGTCTTGTTCACATTCATCTTCCAGTTTCCTATCACAAAGAACTTCCTTAAACTTGACATTGTGAAGACGTTTAAGGTGGAGTAATGAAGTAGAGGAGTTACTGTACTTGTGAGGCCAGGATCGAGGGCAACTGTGTGTGCTTCAGTCAGATCCTTCACTTTTATACAACCAAAACCGGAAGTACAGCATAAAACGTTCGAGTATGTTTTAACCATGTTGTGTTTATTCTTGGGATTCTAAACGTTCCCCACACCGCTTGATAAGTACTGTACTTCCCGTGTCCACAACTTTCTTCATTTCTGATCAAAGTTAGTAGGCGAAACAAATAAGTGAATAATTACTTTTCTTTAATAATAATTACTAAAATAGATTTAATGTGGCGCTTTGGTGAATAGAAAAAGATAATTGGGTCTCAAGAACATATTTCTGTCTCGATGTGACAGTTAAGTAAATGTAACAGAGATAACAGTCCTAGCCTAGTATGAGCTCATTCAGGACAAGACTTGACCAACACTGACGCAGGTACAGATATATGCAGGAGCCAATACTTGCCATCAGTGTGTAACAGAGATGTGACCGATCGCCCCAAGCTTCGAACTGATCGATCAGCGGCGAAGAGGATAAAATAAAGTAGAAATACTGAGCAGAACAAAACGCAGTGGCAATATTAGTGACTACCATATTATGTGTTGGTCTTAATATCTTTAATTTCATTTTATCATTTCACCACTTATCAGTCTACTAGGCGTTCGGGGAGTTGGTCTTTTCTTTTGTTACTTTGTTATGATCTTTACAGTCCAGTGATAGTTTACGGGGAAAATCTGGAGTACCCGGAGGAAACTGTTGTGTTGGACGAAATCTCGCCCCGGCCTTTTCCTCAGTTATAGTTGACATTCTTCATTTAGACACGTCACTTTATGTTGCAGATCAGTTATAAACGTGAATCTAAGTAATATAACTATTACTAACTTTTTGATCGATCGTTCATCTTTCAGACCAACACGACTTAGTTAATGAATACTTCTCCGTGTTTTAAAGCTTTGGTGTTGACGCGTGTGATGCATTTCAGAGAGAGTAACTGCCCGCTCGTTTGTCAACAGTAAAGTGTTGTTCCCGCTACTGTTTTTTAAGGAATATCATATCGCAGTTTTCAACTATATTTCAATAACGTATTTAAATTCGTTAAGTTTATATGCCTTTATCTGAGTGTTGTAATTTAGTTTTACACAAATATTATATAAATTCCTCCATGAACACATATTAGAGAGAAATGAATCGTCTTTCTAGCCTAGCGTAACCTATCTACTGAATGATGATGGCTCGCACAGTGTATAGTATGTCGAGTGGTCTACTTCCCCACACACAGTATACATTCCGTGTTCTATGGTCCTTCCCATATATCCTGTAATACAAAAAATAATCTAGCGCCGACCTCACAATGTTGCACCATGTCCGGCAAACAAGGCCATGTGAACTGGATATGATTTGGTATAATTCCTGATTTACTTAGTGAAGGTCATGGGAATGTGGAGGTCATGAGAGTGTGGAGGTCATGGGAGTGTGGAGGTCATTAGAGTGTGGACTGTGGAGGTCATGAGAGTGTGGAGGCCAGGTGGTGTGGTGGTCATGAGTGTGGAGGCTAGGTGGTGTGGTGGTCATGAGTGTGGAGGCCAGGTGGTGTGGTGGTCATGAGTGTGGAGGCCAGGTGGTGTGGTGGTCATGAGTGTGGAGGCCAGGTGGTGTGGTGGTCATGAGTGTGGAGGCCAGGTGGTGTGGTGGTCATGAGGTGGAGGCCAGGTGGTGTGGTGGTCATGAGTTTGGAAGCCAGGTGGTGTGGTGGTCATGAGTGTGGAGGCCAGGTGGTGTGGTGGTCATGAGGTGGAGGCTAGGTGGTGTGGTGGTCATAAGAGTAGAGAGGTCACGGGAGTGTGGAGGTCATGAAAGTGTGGAGGCCATGAGAGTGTGGAGGTCATGGGAATGTGGAGGTCAGAGAGTGTGGAGGTCATGGGAATGTGGAGGTCAGAGAGTGTGGAGGTCATGATAGTATTCCTACCAAGCTTAAAATAATTGCATTATCAAAAAGCATTTATATTTTTCAGTTACAAATATCTTTTCTAAAGGTGTTGTTCTAATATGGCAGCTCCAGATATCACTACAAATCCTAATATGGCAGCTCCTGATATCACTACAAATCCTAATATGGCAGCTCCTGTCATCACTACAAATCCTAATATGGCAGCTCCTGTCATCACTATAAATTCCTAATATGGCAGATCCTGTCATCACTATAAATTCCTAATATGGCAGATCCTGATATCACAACATTTCCTAATATGACGGCTCCTGATGTGTTTCTTCACCAATAGCAAAAGGTTTCAGGTTACATACTATATTTTAAACACGTTGTTGCCTCCTGTTGTGAGTAACCCCGTGCGTGCGTCCCTCAGTGAACGTGTATGGATCCGGTTGGCCGTGATTCAATAGTCCTTCGTAATGCTAGATGTAATAGCCATTCAACCTGAATAGTATATTACAATTACTATTTTAGAATCACCCATATATTAACCATTTTAACGCTAACCTAATCTAACCTAACGCTAACCTAGCCTAATCTAACGCTGACCTAACTTAATCTAACGCTAACCTAACTTAATCTAACGCTAACCTAATCTAACCTAACGCTAACCTTGCCTAATCTAACGCTGACCTAACTTAATCTAACGCTAACCTAATCTAACCTAATGCTAACCTAATCTAACCTAACGCTAACCTAGCCTAATCTAACGCTGACCTAACTTAATCTAACGCTAACCTAATCTAACCTAATGCTAACCTAATCTAACCTAACGCTAACCTAACTTAATCTAACGCTAACCTAATCTAACCTAATGCTAACCTAATCTAACCTAACGCTAACCTAACTTAATCTAACGCTAACCTAATCTAATGCTGATCTAACATAACCTATCCTAATCCTCCCAAATAATGTTAATATGTTAAAATACATCCATGATTACAATTACTAAGTGTTATATAATTAGTTATGTTTAGTTTCACTTACAATTATAATTATTACAAGTCTGGTTCTAACGCTGTGCTCATATATTCTGAGGGCGGCTGAGAATTGCTACAAAATCCTGTATAGTCTTAAATATGTGAAAAAACAACTAAATATATTTTCTTTCTTTGTGTGTGTGTGTTGGTCTGATACTTGAATGCTCTGAGAAAATTCTCAGTAAACTTTAATCTCTTGACCGGAAGTTTCGCATACATGACGACAACAACAACAATAATAATAATAATAATAATAATAATAATAATAATAATAATAATAATAATTAATAATAATAATAATAATAGTAATACTAATAATAATAATAATAATAATAATTAATCATAATAATAATAATAATAATAATAATAATAATAATAATAATAATAGTAGTAGTAGTAGTAGTAGTAGTAGTAGTAGTAGTAGTAGTAGTAGTAGCTTAGTAGTAGTAGTAGTAGTAAAAACGGTTTATTGAAGCTGAAAATAGACAAAGGACATATAGTCACACAGGAGAGGAATCGTTTAACAATAACTTTCAGTGAAAACACGAGAAGAAAAGCCGAGTGACCATACAAGTTAGGTTAGGTTAGATTTTAGGTTATGTTTTGGGGAGGGTAGGTTAGGTTAGGTTAAGTTACAGTAATACAAATAATACCAATATTTATTCAGTAAAGTTGTTAGGTGATGGGTAATAAATATACTGCAACAACTACATTGAATGACTTTAATACTTTGACTAGGTGTTCACAGGCAACATACATGTCCGCAACTTATTTTTGTCGAGGTCACATTTTAAGTGTTTACGAAAAGATATAAATTCATCAGTAAAATGCAGTGAGGAATACAGAAAAAAAAATAAAAAATAGGGGTCCACTTTATATAATTTAAAAGAACCGAGATGTGTCTGGGAAAAGCCTTACGATTCTGAAATACTGTACTCTTTAAGTCATGATGTAGTGACTATGTGTAGTGATGTGGTGACTGTATGTGTAGTGATGTGGTGACTGTATGTGTAGTGATGTGGTGACTGTATGTGTAGTGATGTGGTGACTGTATGTGTAGTGATGTGGTGACTGTATGTGTAGTGATGTGGTGACTGTATGGGTAGTGATGTGGTGACTGTATGTGTAGTGATGTGATGACTGTATGTGTAGTGATGTGGTGACTGTATGTGTAGTGATGTGGTGACTGTATGTGTAGTGATGTGGTGACTGTATGTGTAGTGATGTGATGACTGTATGTGTAGTGATGTGGTGACTGTATGTGTAGTGATGTGGTGACTGTATGTGTAATGATGTGGTGACTGTATGTAGTGATGTGGTGACTGTATGTGTAGTGATGTGGTGACTGTATGTGTAGTGATGTGGTGACTGTATGTGTAGTGATGTGGTGACTGTATGTGTAGTGATGTGGTGACTGTATGTGTAGTGATGTGGTGACTGTATGTGTAGTGATGTGGTGACTGTATGTGTAGTGATGCGGTGACTATGTGTAATGATGTGGTGACTGTATGTGTAGTGATGTGGTGACTGTATGTGTAGTGATGTGGTGACTGTATGTGTAGTGATGTGATGACTGTATGTGTAGTGATGTGATGACTGTATGTGTAGTGATGTGGTGACTGTATGTGTAGTGATGTGGTGACTGTATGTGTAGTGATGTGGTGACTGTATGTGTAGTAAGGTCATTTGTGTTGAGAAATCCTCTTACTTATAACCTCGCTGTTAATAGCGTTACAACAACCATAATCTCAGTGGTACAACAACAATAATTTCAGTGGTACAACAATATTAATCACTCACGTACGATATACAGAGCCAAATGTTTCCCAGACAAGCCTCGGTTACATCACAGGTATATACCCTGTACAGTACAGTATATTATGTACAGACACACATTAAGGGTAGTCCGACATGCACACTTACTGTTGTATGGTCTTATATGGCTCAATTATAAATGCCCGGATTTATGTTTTGTTGCATCAACCAATCTTGACGAATGTTATGAAATGCGATGTTTGTCCTTCACTAAAGACAGTTTCTGGAGCGTGAAGCTTACCGCGCCCTCTGGTGGATACTGTCACTTAAGATGCTCTGACAAGAATTGCATCTCATAAAATTCTCCACTCATACTTAAATATTATAATGCTTTCAGAAACAATAAATAACGCTATATATAACATATAAACAATACGTGTAAATTATGAATATCAGATTATACTGTCTCGAATCCTATGCATGAATATTACATACAGTATTATTAACGACCACACACACACACACACACACATATGCTCCTAAAACTATTTGAAAACCTACCAAAGTGCAGTTTTGACACATGGGATCATCAGAACTTTTAATTAATCAAATAAAGTATTATGGTATCTTGCGTTAAGGGAATAAGAGACTAGTAGTCGAACTCTTTAAGGTTCGTCCGTCGAATGTTGTTATTATTCAACATTCAAGGTGGTGCCCCCTTATTGTGATGACACCCTCAGTGTTACAGTGTTCCTGTATCATGAAGAGGACCTCAGTGTTCCTGTGTCATGAAGAGGACCTCAGTGTTACAGTGTTCCTGTATCATGAAGAGGACCTCAGTGTTACAGTGTTCCTGTGTCATGAAGAGGACCTCAGTGTTCCTGTATCATGGAGAGGACCTCAGTGTTCCTGTATCATGGAGAGGACCTCAGTGTTCCTGTATCATGAAGAGGACCTCAGTGTTCCTGTATCATGAAGAGGACCTCAGTGTTCCTGTATCATGAAGAGGACCTCAGTGTTCCTGTATCATGAAGGACCTCAGTGTTCCTGAAGAGGACCTCAGTGTTCCTGTATCATGAAGAGGACCTCAGTGTTACAGTGTTCCTGTGTCATGAAGAGGACCTCAGTGTTACAGTGTTCCTGTATCATGAAGGACCTCAGTGTTACAGTGTTCCTGTATCATGAAGAGGACCTCGGTGTTCCTGTATCATGAAGAGGACCTCGGTGTTCCTGTATCATGAAGAGGACCTCGGTGTTCCTGTATCATGAAGAGGACCTCAGTGTTACAGTGTTCCTGTATCATAAAGAGGACCTCAGTGTTCCTTTATCATGAAGAGGACCTCAGTGTTACAGTGTTCCTGTATCATAAAGAGGACCTCAGTGTTCCTGTATCATGAAGAGGACCTCAGTGTTACAGTGTTCCTGTATCATAAAGAGGACCTCAGTGTTCCTGTATCATGAAGAGGACCTCAGTGTTCATGTATCATGAAGAGGACCTCAGTGTTACAGTGTTCCTGTATCATGAAGAGGACCTCAGTGTTCATGTAGTGTTCATGTATCATGAAGAGGACCTCAGTGTTACAGTGTTCCTGTATCATGAAGAGGACCTCAGTGTTACAGTGTTCCTGTATCATGAAGAGGACCTCAGTGTTCCTGTATCATGAAGAGGACCTCAGTGTTACAGTGTTCCTGTATCATGAAGAGGACCTCAGTGTTCCTGTATCATGAAGAGGACCTCAGTGTTACAGTGTTCCTGTATCATAAAGAGGACCTCAGTGTTACGCTGCCATTGACTCACTGGTAGTATTCATTGTTATAGTAAATATTTATTTTGACAAATTTTATTTATAAAATAAAATCTTTTTAACTCCCACAACTTGGTGGTGTTATTAATGTATAACAAACTTTACTTCCAAGTACATTTTACATTCAGTTTGTTTTGAACTTAGAGACTTGTCATTTAGTTTAAGGTTGAGGCCACTGTGTATGGTGTACTGTACTGTATCCCAGGACTTGGCTCACAAAAGAAATATTAGCCAGTGTGTCCAAGACTTGAGTCACGCTCAGTCACTATCACAAACCTTCCTAACTTGTGGCCGCCATTTAAGTTACTAAGTAGAGGAGTGAGAGCACGCCATAACCATTTATCATGGTATAGTTTACGAGTTTTATAATTATTGTAAACACAAGTAGAAATCTTATCTAAGGTTTTGTATGCTGTGATATTGGCGTCGACGACGTATAGATTCGCTTATTAATGTTCTTATAAACTGGAGGTTACTGAGGGAGTGACGGTGACAATAAGTTATTAATAATCTTGGAAATGTACTTAGGAAAATAATATATGATCTTCACACACTGCCACATTGTCCAATTCTTCGTCTCAGATGTTTGACTCTGCCTTGAGCTCTCGTGTTGAGCCTAGCAAGTGAAGTCCATCTGCCGGGGAGGGGGTAGTGCTGCATCGCCTTAAAAGTTACAATACACTTTGAATCCACTCTAAGTAGTGCTGGATGTGTGTGTAGACTCCTGGTTGATGAGGCTTACCACAGTTTTTACCCCAGGACACCACTCCAAGCAGTGTGTACGACCCTGTGAAAGAAAAAAAAATGGCAATAAATAAAGAGATGTATGGCGGGGGAATGAGCCATCCATTATTTCTTCAACTTTTGGCTAGTGTCCATGTGTTACCAAAGATACCCAGGAGGAGCATCGTTGACGGCTACATTTAACCAGATACGAAGTTATACTGAGATTATATGGTATCTATAATGCTAAGCTTACAGATTAATAATAATGAATAGTAAATAATAAACTAATTATGAGTGTGTCATTGTGTAGTGGTGAGATGCTCAGAGAAATTCTTTTTATGTTGGCTAGTAAGTGTTGTGTGAAGGTTGTAAACGACCGATTATTATTATTTTTTTTTCTTGAGAATGGTTTTATATCAATATGGCCAAGACACGAGCTTTTTTATTAAGAAACTTTAATTTGATCAGGTAAACACAGCCATCTTTTGCCAGCCTGACGTCACTTATGTATTAACGGGTTACATAAGGTAGTACTTATCATCAATGTCTTCACCTTTGTTTATATACACTTTACGAGGAAATCTTGTTAACATGAGTGTGTATTAAGTTTGTCAAGTGAAGTTCTATTTTCACCATCTTCGACTTTGCTGAATTATTTGTAACATCGAACACAATATTTTCGTGAATATGAGTGAAGATGTTGGACACAGATCACCCTCACGTTGTCCTCAGCGATTTTAAGTTACTTACCTGTCAAACTCACCTGTGAATCTCACCTGTCAACTCACCTGCCAAACTCCCGTCAAACTCACCTGTCAAACTCGCTCTTGAATGGGATATATTTTTTATGTCACTGTACCTTTATGTTTCTCAGGCACTTCCAAGAGACTCTCAGATTCACATTATGTTTGACTGTCTTAAAAATGGCATTAAAAACTCAGTACTGTGTTGTTCTTCTCAGCAGGGAAAGATATGAAGTACTTTTTAGTGGCAATTTGGTGTACAGGCCACCTTCCTTCAAGTTAAGGTGCGGTAGTGAAGGTAGTTAAGGTAGTGAATGTCTCCTGGCTGACGGTGTACAGTGTTGATCCCAGCTTAAGAGGACACCATTGTGAACTCTAACCTGAGGTACTAACTCGTTCACCTTTCATTATTAATTGTGTTTAACGTCGCGCGGTCTGGAGTGTAGCAGTGTCTATGAAGTACCAGACACGCTTCAGTAAACTTTCCTCGGGGCTACATAGAGAATAGAGGGAAATTCTAAGAAGAGGGAAATAGAGTTATGTGAAACGAAGACGTGTTAAGGTGGAGGATTCTGGTGGCCCGAAAAGACAGAAAATCCATCAAATTTAAATACAAAATGGCCATGAATAATATGTCATGGAAGCAGTTATGTGACTAAAGAGTTGACTCACCATCAATATTACACGCCAGAGGTCCCCCGGAGTCACCGTTACACGCGTCCTTCTTGCCCTCCATGTATCCTGCACAGATCATGCCGGAACCGTAGCCTCGAGTACCCAGCATCTTCTGGCAATCGTTGTCCGCCATCAAGAGAACTTCTGTGCTGTGTAGCACATCCACCTTGGAGAAATTGTTGTCAGCTGTCAAAAGGAAAGACAAATTAACTATTGGACTTCTTGAAGAGTAAAGGTTCAACCCGATAGCATAAAATTGCTGAAACAGAAGTATATCCTACAAAAAATAAAAGTATATCCAGTAGACTATTTTGCGGGTATATTGGAAATCCCTCTACAGTAACGTCACACGCCCAGAGTATCGGGATTGGTTTATCACAACTCGGCTTCACTCGGTAGTTCTGTACATCCCAGGAGCTATAGCAAACTACAAAATATCAAGGTAAATAAAGTATATTATCCTAAAACCAAATAAAAAATTACTTAGAGTAAGGGTCGACAGCACACAGGAGAGATATTTTACCAGCCTGAGGTGTAGCTCTTGCCTTGTTTATCGTGTTTGTAAAGGTACATTAATTCTCATAAAGTAGGCTGTGTCGTACACCTGTATAATGACAACCTGACGCTGATGAAAACACTAGAGATACACCATGGTCGGGGTACAGGTAGGAACATATGGACAGGTAGGGGAATTAAGGACAGGTAGGGGAATTAAGGACAGGTAGAGGCGAGTGTGAGAGAAACAACAGGGAGTGAAGAGAAGACGAAAGAGAGAGAGAGAGAGTGTACAAGAAACAGGGGGGAGGGGGGGAAGGAGACTCACGGTCGGTTAGGCCCCAACCAGACACCTGACACTTGGTGCCTGGGGCGTAAGGTGTGGTGGAGGACGGGAGACACGCTGGCGTCACGAATCTGGACATCTGGAAGCCTTTCCCTCGCTGACCCTTCACCTTAACTACAGCCACGTCGTTGTTGTAGATCCCACCTGTAGATACACGTAGAGTCATGTCTGAGGTGATGTCATCAATCAGTCCCTACCATGGATGACGTCACTTATCGTCACAACCATGGATGACGTCACTTATCGTCACAACCATGGATGACGTCACTACCATGGGAGACGTCACAGTATTGTACTATACACGGAAATATTATAAGGTGTGTTTGGACGACAATAACTATAACACCGTCTGGTTCTCTCTAACTGACCAAGACTAAATAACGAACAGTAAAGTGTTAGTAATTTGTACTACATCACTGAATTCACTTTATTACTTCCTTAGACTAGGAGTATGCTAGAGGAAAATGTCTTAGTGTGTGTGTGTGTGTGTGTGTGTGTGTGTGTGTGTGTGTGTGTGTGAGTGTGCGTGTGTGTGTGAGTGTGTGTGTGGGTCTCCGGATCGTCACCCGTATATGAAATACTAAATTACACCATAGCGAGCAAGTTAGTGACACGATGTATACTAAACGTTTTATAACCGTACATGAACTCTCCTGATTTGTGTTCTTAAAATTTCTGTTCATAAGGTCTTGGACACTTTGTTTACGTCAGTACATGTTGGTGTATTCAGAAAAAAAAGTTACGCTTCTGATAACGCTTTCGGGAAATCATTAATGTATAGAACACGATGGGACCCAACACACTCACTTATCGGGTGTCACTGAGCGCTGTAGGCCAGGCCAGCAATCATTTATACATTCATTTACTAATTAGACTCCAATACTACGTCTTACCAAGTGCCTTAATAAAGTCCACACACACACACACACACACACACACACGCACACCATAGTTAATGTTTACCTAATGCAGTACCAGATGTCTCAGTAGTTAGAATGGAGGGGATCTGCCAATTATAAAGTCATACTATATATCACTTTTGTGTTGGTATTTCTCGTATGATCCGTGATGTGAGCTTTATGGTCTTACAGGTGATAAATACGAGTCTCACATGTCCGTAAATACTGCCAATATAGCCAGTAGTTTTACCGTCTTCCATTCCTCAGGTAATTTTCTGGCTGGGAGCGACGTGAACTAGATCATCACCAGCGGTCTGTTTACAATGAGGTGTACAGTACTTATTCCGTTGGTCTTGGATGTACAGCGTCTGGTACTGTGAGTTGTTTGCCTTGATTCTCTTAGGATCTTCCCTGACTTCCACTGATAAATTGAAAAGGTCTTGTGTTGCTGTGGTGTTGGTACAGTATACTTCTGCGTCTGACTGCCGTAAACACACTCAGGAAAAACTTTAACGTGACATCCACTTACTCATGACCGATTGATGTTATTTTCTTTTGTATATCGTTCCCGAGTCACTAAATCTGCCTTGCAACTCTCCAAAAAACACAGTCACTCTTACATCACCATTTTCCATAAACTTACCGACGCCAAATTTAGGATGTATGGTCCAGCCCTCGACTTCAAACATCTGCTCGTCTTGATCCCTGTGGGTGAGGTCGTGATCACCAACCTGTTGAGGAGTGTTGGTTTACTTTACTGTACTGTACCTAACACACACACACACACACACACACACACACACACACACACACACACACACAGACACACACACACCCTTCCTTTACGTGCACTTAACTATTGTGTTGTAATACCTCCCAGCATTAACAGACGAGGGCAATACAGCACAGCACAACACAGTGAGTCAGGTAGATAGCACGGCAGGACTTACCTTAACGCGGTAATCATGAGGAGACACGCCTGGCACCTGTAGGCAGTGGGCGGCGGTGACGATGTGGAAGGGGGAGATGATGGCCCCGCCGCAGTGGTGAGAGAAGCCGTCACCATTCTTGTACACTTCCAACTGTACCTGTGAGACGAGAACACCTTTAATTAGTGATTGTCGAAAGGGATGATGAGTGGTGGTGGTGGATTGGTTGTAGTGGTGGTGATAATGGTGATAAATGATGGAGGAATGGTGGTACTGGTGGAGAAATGGTTGTAGTGGTGGTGGGTAATGATGGAGGAATGGTGGTAGTGGTAGTGAATGATGGGATTCTAGGTAGAGGTAAGATACACGTATGGTTCTAGGAATGTCTGGTGTAACCTGTCTTCCACCACAACAAACACAAATAATAAAAAAAATATATATAAAATTCACAACTAAAACATAAAAAGAGAGAGAGAGAGAGAGAGGTGTGTTGCGCCATAAATTACCTGCCATGGGTTATTGCCGTAAGTAGCCGTGGCGCCACCCACTATCCTAGGGGTGCTAGTGCGGCCACAGGAGTGAATATTAGTGGGGAAGTCGCCTCTCACGCTGGGGTCCTCGGCGGCCGACACCGGGAACTTGGGGAAGCCTCCGTGCCGGAAATCCACCCGCCGTCCCCCTGTCGCTGTACCTATGTCATGGGCACATTTATTATATTCTCTCCCTTTAACATGACCCGGAAAAATCTATAAATAACAGCATTAGAACAGAAAACCGAATATACCAAAAACTTGATTGTATTTATAACTTCTTGTGCACCGCCACCTGGACGTCTCTCGTAGACTGGGTTTTTCAGAATCAACTTTCTTATAAAAGTCGGACAAATGATCCTTTAAAACAAGTATAATGAACCAACCTAACTCACATTACAGTTGAATTAGACAAGGTTAGGTATGCTAAGTGGGTTTGGTTGGTTTATTTGGCTATAATAATCAAGAGTAAATGATAACTCAGCCGCCATGATGAAAATGAACCGCGACACTGACCTAAATATTTGCCGAAATTAAACAAATGGAGAGAACAAATGAGAGCCGTACAGTACTATGGTGAGAGCAGAGCGGTGCGGCGGACCACGTGACTCAGTGTTTACAAACACTGAGTGGTGGGTGAAGGGGAAAGTTGCCACGCCTCCCCCTCTCTGTCGTTTTCTTTTTTGTTTTACCGTACGTGATGTTTTTTCACGGTCAGTAGGACGTCAGCCGGACACATATATATACTGTGTATATATATATATATATATATATATATATATATATATATATATATATATATATATATATATATATATATATATATATATATATATACACGTTTAATGCACAACCGTATGTGTATATGTATATCTGCGTGTATGTAATGTGTATATCTACGTGTGTGTATGCAAATATGTTTGTGGATGTATGTACGTATATTAGAGTATAAACCATTTATGACATAAGCTCCTGAGAGGTAAGAGGATGGTAGCATTGTGTGTTTATAGAGGAACCTGTACAAAGTAAAAGGTAAGAGTTTAGCGAGAGTGTGTGTGTGTGAGGCTGGTCGCTGGAGATGAGGTGTTCCAGTAACCTAACTAGTCAACAACATTCACCGCCCGGCTCCACCTCCCACAAAAGGTTAATACGTAGTACCTTTGTTCTCGTTGATTTTCTTTGAACAGGAAACTTCTTATATTCGAACATATGAGTATTATAACTGTATCTCAATCACCATATATATTTCCCTTGTTTAATTAATATATATTTTGGAAATAACTTTAGATGCATGGGTAGATGATACATAGTAATTGTGGAAAACGTCATAGTGGTTCAACAAGTAGAGAGAGTGCAGCAGGTATACAATGTACAGTCCCCTTCACTAGTGCGTTTACAGGGGCTCGTTAGGTTTTATGCAGTGTGACAGCCCTGTGTTTGTTTACATTAGACAGAAGGAAACTTACAATACTAACATACTATGGAATCAGAGTAAAACAATATTAAAACAAATATGTCAAAGATAATGATTTGTGGAATGTTTATATGACGACCCCCTGTAAACGCATTAGTGAAGGGGACTGTACTTAGTGCAGCTATACAGTGTACTTAGACAGCTCTGGTATACAAATAATGAGTTTAGACAGCAGATACACCAACAATGACAAACGGTAATTTGATTCAGTTACTAACATAAGGAAACCATTAAAAAAGTTAATTAACTTACTTAGACCTCAGTATCTACCTGTGACGAATATTTAAGGTAAAGAGAAATGTCTATACTATGCCGGTGAGACTCCCCAAGCGTTTTTCTACCCGTAAACCTGGCTGTCAGTCGCCCGGGTGACGCAACAGCTTCCGGCGAACAGCTCATGTGGGTCACTGGGACCACCCCGACTGTTTCTTTTTTCTTTCATCTTTTTTTCTTTCTTTTTGGCCTCATTTTTGTTTCACGTAATTCTCGCTCTTACTTTCGTTCTTATTATTTTTTCAGCTTGTTTTTTTTTATTTTACACTTTTATTTACTTATGTAGTTTAGTGTTGTGTACAGACTATATTATTCTTACACTGTTTCCCTGAGAGATAGATCATAGTAAAATCGGCATACAAGATTACATTGATTAAGCATGTGTACAGCATAGACAATGTAGGCATTAACCGTGCAGGTATATAAACAAAGAATATAGTGCAGGTATACCATGTACCTAGACAGTGCAGGTATATAAACAATGTACCTAGACAGTGCAGGTATACAAACAATGAACAAAAAGTGCAGGAATACAAACAATGCATTGATTGTTTTACTTCTAATCACATTAGCCCTTAATAATTATAATTGTATTTCGACTACCTGTGATGGGTCATGTTACTGTTGGTTAGGTGTGGTAGTGTAAGTTTTATAAAGATTAATTGACCCAGATATCAAGTTTTATATATACTCACCACGTCTTGTCCCTGACCCGCCAACACTGTCTATGTGGGAACTCGGGAAGGCACTGTGTATACTTGTTTCTTTATTTGTCATATTCCCTTTTGTTTATGTTTGTATTTATTAGTTTATATATATTTTAAAACCTTCTCTATTTGTTTCTTGTTTTTCTTGTAGTGTTTTTGTATTACAGTATGTTCTATTTGTTGTATTTAATTTGATTTATTTTAATATTAACTTGTACTTGTTGATTTTTCATTGACTTTTGTTTATATTTGTTTTTGTATGTATTTGTGTTTCTCATTTTGTGTTAGCATTTGTTTGTCTTTGTTTGTCTTTGTTTAAATAACCTGCATTCATTCGTTTCTGTTTAATTTTGTACTAGTGTATAGGAGAGTCTGGTGGATTTGTTTGTGTATTTGTATATATTTGTTCCTTTATGTTTTTGTTTGAATGTGCTGTATATAATTTTCTTGATGTAATGAACTTGCTGATCCCCTAAACCTGTTCTATATATACTTGGGTGAGCAAAATGTCGCCCAGTGATTGGTAAATAGCATACGTGAGTCTCATATTCAAGCAGGGCGATCGTCACTCGTCTAATAATTATAGACCAGTCAGCCTGACGAGCATAGTGTGTAAAGTACTAGAGAGCATTATAAGAGATACTATGAAATAACATCATTTTAATTTTTGTTGGTTGTTAAATTTACACTAATAATTATTTCTATTAGGTTGGAGTTTTTATGAATTACATACAGTATTTAGGACATATTTTATAGGCCTTTCCTTCTCTTATTTCAGCCCAAGTCTCCTCGCAGCCTAGTTTCGTATACTGTACAACGTTGTCTCCTAAGTCATATAGTGAGGTAAGGACTTTTCTTATCTCCTGTGTATAATAACCCTGACTGTGAGAAAGATAAGCCTTTGTCCTGTCTACGGGCATCATTGTTGTAGTTTTATCAGTCAGTTGGTCGAGATTACACAACCCACAATTATTGTATTCGTCGGTGAGGGCTACTATTGCCACCACTATCACCACCAATATCGTCACCAACACACACACACCACCACCATTACTACCACCACCATCACCACCCACCAACGCCGCCACCAAAACTGTACCACCCGCTCTCTGTTGACACTCGCACACTGTTAAGCTAGGGTTCCATTTACGCTTTTGCGTTTTGTATCGCTACAGGGAGCAATTGGAATGTAACACAAACGCATAACGCTAACGCAACCGTGCCAATTGAAACAACCGTGTACATTTCAATGTGATCTATTTTTGGTGCTAACGCTACCGTTAACGCGTGAATGGAAACCTAGCTTTACTCTCATTAGCAATTATGTTTGTATCAGGAATATTTCGGCATGTTTCCGTTTACTTCATGTTACTTCCGTATCCTCTAATAAATTTCCGTATCCTTTAGTAACCTTCCGTGTCTTGTAGTAAAGTTCTCTTGATTCATTCTGGTAAATCAATGTTTAAATTTTTGTATTTTGCAGTTAGTTCTAACTTAGTCTAACAGATCCCAGTCAAAACGGAATTGGTTCCAGTTAGGATGGGACTGTACGATACCTTTACGGCTGGGACCCATAAAACTGGAGCACACTTAACCAGTTATCATGCCTAAGAAACAGTCATGATTTTTTTTTAAGAACATAAGAACGAAGGAAACTGCAAAGGGTCTATTGGATCATACTCGGCAGCCCTGTTTACTCCCAATTTTTATCACTCATATTAGTCATGTAACTGTCCAACCGATATTATATTTTGAAACTTCCTCGCGAGTTCGTGTTGATGATGGAGAAGATCACTACGAAATACGCCATTGACGAGGCAGCACAGAATATGACATCGCCAAGAAGAACAAAAGCTTCCTTCTTTGACTCAGTCAAGTTCACGATCCTTCCTGTACCCCAGTTTCCACCCATCCTGGCCTCGAAATCACGCATGTTCAAGATACACAGAAACAAGAAGCTCAAAATTCATTACTGGTGAGAAATATCCTAAAGCAGACTGATAATATTGGAGATCCACTACTCCCTAGAAAAAACACCGGCGTATAATCTAAGCGCAGCAACTTAAAGATAAACGGACAGTCTACTCTACAACAAGGAACACAGCTGGTGCCCTCATTAACTTCCCCATCCTCCCCTATAAATAACTTCACACACACACAATAGCATGGCGGGAACAAAACAAACCCACCCTCCCTTTATGACTGATGTTTACAATGGTGAGGATGATGATGATAGCGGTGATAATGGTGAGGATGATACTAGCGGTGATGGTGAGGATGATACTACCGGTGATGGTGAGGATGGTAGTGGTGGTGGTGAGGATGATAATAGCGGTGATGGTGAGGATGATAGCGGTGATGGTGAGGATGATGGTGGTGATGGTGAGGATGATAATAGCGGTGATGGTGAGGATGATAATAGCGGTGATGGTGAGGATGATAGCGGTGATGGTGAGGATGATGGTGGTGATGGTGAGGATGATAATAGCGGTGATGGTGAGGATGATAATAGCGGTGATGGTGAGGATGATAGTGGTGATGGTGAGGATGATAATAGCGGTGATGGTGGAGGATGATGGTAGATGTAGGAGGATGATAATATGGTGATGGTGGGATGATAGTAACGGTGATGGTGAAGATGATAGCGGTGATGGTGAGGATGATGGTGGTGATGGGTGAGGATGATAATAGCGGTGATGGTGAGGATGATAGCGGTGATGGTGAGGATGATGGTGGTGATGGTGGAGATGATAATAGCGGTGATGGTGAGATGATAGTGATGGTGAGGATGATAATAGCGGTGATGGTGAGGATGATGATGATATAATAGCGGTGATGGTGAGGTGATGAAGATGAATAATGGTGAGGATGATAATAATGGTGATGGTGAGGATGATGATAGCGGTGATGGTGAGGATGATAATAACGGTGATGGTGAAGATGATGATAACGGTGATGGTGAGGATGATAATAACGGTGATGGTGAAGATGATGATAACGGTGATGGTGAGGATGATGATAGCGGTGATGGTGAGGATGATGATAGCGGTGATAGTGAGGATGATGATAGCGGTGATGGTGAGGATGATAGCGGCGACATTGTAGTGTCTCAGATAATTTCTCCACCACTTTTTTAACCACTAAACTTGTAGTAGTGTTTGTGGACTCCAGGGTCGCCGTCACCCTTAAACAAAACATCATAATATATATATCAATACAGAGTCGTAATAGTGGACACTCACGTTACTGGATACAATTACCATTTTTCCCGTTGACTTTAGTTAAGTTTCATCCAACGTTAATGATTACAACGGCATTAAGAACTTAACTATAAATAGGCGGAAATCGAGTTCCTTTCTCTCCTCTGGGTACAAGAGACATATCGCGCACGTTGACGATGATCAATGAAATCGCCCGTATCCAAGTAGGTTATAGGAGCGGTTTGACTCAGCCTCAAGTGTTCAAGGTTAGGTTAGTAGTACAACCGCCCGGATCCTGCCCCCAACCGCTCGCCACCCGGGTAACTTGACTGACCTCGATAGTAAGTTAATGTCCTGTTATTGGAAAAAAGATTTAATAATTTTCCCAATAGTATTTTCTTGTATTTTATCTATGTATATTAATAATGTAAATCATATATTTCCAATACTTCAACCAATTTACAATCTCTCTCTCTCTCTAGGTATGTTTCAACGTACGCACACACACAGATACACACTCTCTCTCTCTAGTAGTGGTGTGGTAGAGGTGTGGTAGAGGCGTGGTAGAGGTGTGGTAGAGGCGTGGTAAAGTTGTGGTAGAGGGGTGGTAGAGGTGCACGGTTAAGAGAGAAAGTTCAGACAACATTTTTGTGAAGTTGACGAAGGTGTTGAGGTCCCCTGAGGAGGATGTGTCCCAGTCTCCTGATTCCGAGAGAGAGAAAGGGGCACAAGTGACACTAATTTACAAAAAAAAAAAACAATCAGATCAAGGCTACCCTTTCAGTTCGGTTGGGTTCGGTTGGGTTCGGTCGGGTTCGGTCGGGTTCACCACACCACACAGGTCGGGTTAGGTTAGGTTAGGTTAAAGAAACAAACATTATGCAACATTACGAATCAGCTGAGGGCCGATGAGTGTACGTGAGGAAGACCCCGCTAGAGCGACCCCTGGTGAGGAGGGTATGTGAGGGGGAGGAGCAACCCTGGGCGTGTTCCTCACGTGTCAGTGAGAGTGAGAGTGGTTGCCCCACTACTAATACCGTTCTAACTCAGCAAGAGAACCTTTATTGACGAGGGAAGAAATCTACCCTGGTATGGTGTTTGTGTGGGTAATGATAACGGGTATGGGAGGGGAAATAGTTACTCGCTTGACCTCGATCAACAACAGTTTCACCAGCGACGTTTGACAAGACTGGTGGAAAGCGAGACGCCCGGCCCACCTCACTTTTGCTTTTATCGAACACTGAGACCAAACGTTGTTGTCTCATGCCACTACTACACCTGTATCTACCTGTCTCTCACCATACACACTACACCTGTATCTACCTGTCTCTCACCATACACACTACACCTGTATCTACCTGTCTCTCACCATACACACTACACCTGTATCTACCTGTCTCTCACCATACACACTACACCTGTATCTACCTGTCTCTCACCATACACACTACACCTGTATCTACCTGTCTCTCACCATACACACTACACCTGTATCTACCTGTCTCTCACCATACACACTACACCTGTATCTACCTGTCTCTCACCATACACACTACACCTGTATCTACCTGTCTCTCACCATACACACTACACCTGTATACCTGTCTCTCACCATACACACTACACCTGTATCTACCTGTCTCTCACCATACACACTACACCTGTATCTACCTGTCTCTCACCATACACACTACACCTGTATCTACCTGTCTCTCACCATACACACTACACCTGTATCTACCTGTCTCTCACCATACACAGATGAAAGCATCACTGGGGGGTGGTAAGAGGGGCAGGCTACGCTCGCTACAGGAGTCACACACCACCTAATAAGACTTCCCTGCAGCTACAGTAGGTAATACTTCCTGATCACCGGAAGGTCCGCCTCGTCCTCCCAGACCATTGTTATGTGTACCCTACATGCCTGTCTTTTTTGAGCTGTGTAATCACTCGCGTAATAAACATATACAGTAATGGTATTTTATAAGGAGGAAAAATATTAACTTTAACAAGGTGATCACAGAGGAATTAAAGTGTAATTAAAAATAGTGTTGGTGTTATCAACATATACGGTATATCAGGGTTTGTTGACACGTTCACCAATGGCACGTTAGTGGGCGGGGGTTATGTCACCCTGCGGGCTGCCACCGTCGCGTCATATAGGTGCCTCTATACCTGGTCATATATTGTCTCTCGGCTAACCTGCGGACTGTCACGCCTCTACGACAAATAAATACAAACAATATCTATCGGTTTAAACTTAATAACTCACTTGTTGTAAGGAGAAGTAATATTAGAGATTGTGGTAAGCGGTCCATGCTCCTTGCTTCAACGTGCTGGTGGAGGTGAGAGCGTGGTGATGGTGGCTGTGGAGGCTCACGAGACAGGTCGGCTATGACCAGCACCGAGTGTCGGCTACAACTGGTGAACCGACCCAGTCTACCCCACGATATACCTCCTGCCTCCCTCACCTCTCCCTGACCTACACATACACACACACCGTGCACCACTGACCTGCGCACATACACACGCACACACTCCATGTACCACTGACCTGTATGCACACGCACACACACATGATTCACCTGAACATACACACACACACGATTCACCTGCACGCACACAGCCATCGACCTTGGGTATCGGAGAAGTCTCATACCATGGCTCACATATTTCATTTACGATCGACGCCAGGCTTTACGCTTCCCGGGGGCTGTCTTTACATTTCATTCACCGACGGCGTCCCCCAAGGCACTAGGATGGGACCACTGCTTCCTCATCATCAGTAACGATGCCCGGAAAGATACTCCCGCTCGCTGGTAATGTGTCCTAACCAGCACTTATGCCTCCCCTGCCTGGATTTCTTCCTTAACTGTACACAACGAGGACTCCTAGAGAGGGCGCAGAAGGCGTCTAAGGCTCTTCTTTCCCTCTTTTACTTCACATATCAAGAAGTGCTCAGTTCACTGGCCCTCTCACTCTCTCTTAATCACCATCGTGAACTATTCTGTCAATTTAGGACGAATCATCCTCGCCATAGCCACCTGCTACCACCTGAGATCTCCCGTCCGCGAACTAAGTTGACACCACAACCGTATCCAGCCCTACGACCACGTACTGATCGCTTAAACAACGACTCCATTACAACCATGTTAAAAAAAACTCGTAGATAATATTTGTGTTCACCCGTTGCTAATATCACCTTACTTATGCAATTGTGCTGAAGTTACTTGTTAAATGACTCTCTCCAGGCTAGAATATATTATATACGTACCTATATATATATATATATATATATATATATATATATATATATATATATATATATATATATATATATATATATATATATATATATATATATATATGCTGATAACCACAAGGAAAGAAGAAAACACGAAGTTCCCAAGCGCTTTCGTGTAATTCACATCTTCAGGGGTGAGTCAAACAGTCAGTATTTTCAACAATGTTTTTACGTGCTTTGAGAAATTGCAGCCCGGAATTCATTGATGAGGAATATAAATATATCTATAATATTGGCTCAAACCTAAAATACCCTAGATCTTTCATAGAGAAATGCCTGAACATTACTAAGAAATCTTTTTATAGAACTGATCCCAAGCCCACCCATGACTATAAGAATCTCTTAGTATTACCATTTCACAAAAATTTCTCTCAAATTCCTTTACAACTAAAAACCTGGAACGTCAATGTGGCATTTAAAAACTCATGCACTGTTAAACAAATGTTAATCAAGAACTCCCCCAACAACATAAGAACATAAGAACATAAGAATGGAGGAAACTGCAGCGGGCCTATTGGCCCATACTGGGCGGTCCCGTTTACACCCAACCCCTATTGCTCATATAAGCATCCAACCTATGTTTGAAGCTATTCAGCGTATTCGAGTTAATGATGATATTTGGCATCTTGTTCCATTCATCCACAACTCTGTTTCCAAACCAGTGTTTACCTATTTCACGCCTAAATCTAAATTTGTCTAATTTAAAACCATTGTTACGAGTTCGCTCCTGGTTGGATAGTTTGAGTACCTTTGTAATGTCCCCTTTGTTTAGCCCTGCCTTCCATTTATACACCTCTATCAGGTCGCCCCTCGCTCTACGTCTCTCGAGGGAGTGCAAATTAAGGTGCTTTAACCTGTCTCTATACTCAAGGTTTCTAATGCCCGGGATTAGTCTTGTCATTCTCCTCTGAATTTTTTCCAATGATTCTATAACCATTCTGTAATACGGTGACCAGAACTGAACTGCTTAATCCAGGTGTGGTCTCACAAGAGCAAGATACAGTTTTAGGATGACCTCGCTAGTCTTGTAACTAACACTCCTTTGTATGAACCCAAGTACCTTATTAGCCTTGTTACGAGCAAAAACACATTGTTTACTTGGCTTAAGGTTCCTACTTATCATTAATCCTAAATCTCTCTCGCAGTCGGATTTCTCTATGGCATCATTGTTCATCTGGTATCTGGTTTCCCTGTTTACATCTCCTATACTGAGTACTTTACATTTGTCCACGTTGAATTTCATCTGCCATTTTTCAGACCATTCGAAAAATTTGTTTAGATCTTCCTGTAGTTTTGCTGAGTCCTCGTTAGATTTAATTACACGTCCTATTTTAGTGTCATCAGCAAATTTACTTAGGTTGCTGTCTATGCTGATATCTATGTCGTTTATGTATATAATAAATAATAATGGTCCAAGTACTGAGCCTTGGGGAACTCCACTTGTGACGTTGCTCCAATGGGACTTAGTGCCGTTAATGCTCACTCGCTGTTTCCTATCCTGTAACCACGCCCTAATCCATTTAAGGATGTTACCTTTGATGCCATGAGGTTCTACCTTTCTAATTAGTCTTTCGTGGGGGACTCTGTCGAAGGCTTTGCTAAAGTCGAGATATACCACATCATAATTGTGCCCCTCGTCCACCGATTCGAAAACTGATGAAAAGAATGTTAATAGATTAGTTAGACAAGAACGTCCGCTTATGAAGCCATGCTGGGAATCATTGATCAACTTGTGCTTCTCCAGGTGATTTCGAATAGAGTTTGAAATGATTGCTTCCAGTAATTTACCTACTATTGATGTTAGACTGATTGGGCGATAGTTAGAGGATAGTGATCTATCCCCCTTCTTGAAAATCGGTATCACATTCGCTATCCTCCAGGATTCTGGTACTACACCTGTTTTTAAGGACATGTTAAACAACTTAGCTAAGGGCATACTAAGCTCTTCCTTACATTCCTTTAATACTCTGGCAAATATCTCATCGGGACCAGGTGACTTATTAGGCTTTAGTTTGTCTATTTGCTTACTAACATCGTTACTAGTCACTACTATCTCGCTTAATTTGTTTTCTTCACTATCTCTGAATAGAGTCGGTGCCTCTGGTATCATGTTTAAATTTTCGGTGGTGAAAACTGTTGAAAAATATTTATTCAAATTATTGCTCATTTCTCCGTCGTTATCAGTGAGCTCGCCGGTATCTGACAATTGGTTGCATTTATAAAGTTCCTTGCAAGGAATGTAATATGTTTTACTTAGGCCAGACAGGTAAAGATCTTGTAACTAGACTTAAACAACATAAATATAGTGTTAGGACAGGCCAGGAATCCAATGCTCTGTTTGTTCATCTGAGGGATAACAAGCATTGCATTGACTGGGATAAGGCCTCCTCATTATTACCTTGTAATTCAATTGACAGTAGGAACATAATAGAATCTAGTTTCATTAAACATACCGAAGCAGTCAACATGAATTTGAGTAATGGCATGTACAAACTGGACAATTTTGTAATTAAGAAGATTTGTAACCAGGTGAGAAGGTTGGGTCACCTTACCCTCTGACCTGACTACCGACCGTTGCGGTGCTTTTTAAAAATTAGCAGGGTCATTACCTGACCATTGTGGACCTGATCTCACCCTCCTCTGTATATATACACCTTGTTTTGTACTTCTCCTTAGTCTGTACTCACCCCTGAAGATGTGAATTACACGAAAGCGCTTGGGAACTTCGTGTTTTCTTGTTCCTTGTGGTTATCAGCATATACCTGGATCACTTGCACCTACAGTGATTTACTTGCACACACATATATATATATATATATATATATATATATATATATATCACTTATACGTTTTGTATATTTACAGTTTATTACTGGTGTTAATTATCACACACACACACACACACACACACACACACACACACACACACACACACACACACACACACACACACACACACACACACACACACACACACACACACACACACACACACACCTTGACACACACACACACACACACACATACACATAGCATGGCACTGACCTACACCCACACAGATACCGCGACATTGACCTACACACACCCACACCTATTCCCGTACATCAGACATACACATTAACACACGAATGACCCCTACACACACACACACACGACCACCCACGTGTAGAGCCTTTACATCAAGACCTACAGGCCGGTTACTGATTCCGCACTGGATTATTCGATCACCCTGGACTGAAGTGTTCGGTCACCCTGGACTGAAGTGTTCGGTCACCCTGGACTGAAGTGTTCGGTCACCCTGGACTGAAGTGTTCGGTCACCCTGGACTGAAGTGTTCGGTCACCCTGGACTGAAATATTCGGTCACCCTGGACTGAAGTATTCGGTCACATACTGTACACTGCACGAAGTAAAGCCTTATTGATGCAGGAACACTTCTTTTGAATGTCATTATGTAATTGCCCATTATTATTTGAATAGCAGAGAAGAAGGGAAAATACTCTTTGATCTAATATAGGTCTTAATATGGCAGATCTTCCCAGCAAGGTTTGGCTGTTTATGGTCATATAATATGTATGGATGTAGATTAACACAATAAAAATATATTATTTATTCTTACATCACCAGAGTTTGCAAAACTGTATACTGTATACAAGTCCTCCTTGCCGACACGACCTGTCCAGCAAGACTAAAAGTTCCTCTCACTCGGCACACTGATGGCCATGACACACACACACACAACGTTACGTGTGGCCCTGGAGAGTGCCGGGCCACATGAAGAGGCCATGGCAATCTTTTTTCATCTGAGATACACCTGCGCTCTTTGTCTCCGTGGACTTAACTACGGGGGTGAAGATAGTCTGGCCAGAGGACCTTGAACTAGTTTTTGGCCACAGCTGCTGTGTCTGTTTCCTGACCTTGTTACTGGCGCTAAATCACTGCTCTCACTGTCCCATGCTGCAGGTTTCCCAGAACTGACCGACTTAGTCTTAAAATCTCCTACTAATAATTTCTTAGAAACAAAAGTGGTGTCCAAGATGGGAATTATACTTTGTATCTAATCAAGGAGTGTTATCCAGTCTCAGAAATAAGGCGTTATGTTAAAGAAGTTGACAAACACCAAATAATTAATGAACCAGT